CCTTGCGGCAGTGGGCACGGGCGGCGCGGCTGGCGCGTCGGGGCGGTGCTGTCGGGGGCGGCGCCGCATTCACCGGCTCCTTTGCCGTCGGCGGCTACACCATCTCCTCCGGGCTGGTCGCGTCCGAGGTGTCGGCGGCCGAGGTGGACGCGGTGCTGGCCGAGATCCTGCCCGACGTCTGCACCGACGCCATCGGCGAGGCGGCGCCCTCGCTGCGCCCCGTGACGCTGCCGACCGGCCCGGCCAAGATTCCCGTGCTCGCGCGCAAGAGGCAGGCGGGCGGCGACACGCCGGAGCTCAAGCGCTGGAGGGTCGCCGCCGTCGCCCTGCTCGCCCAGCAGGCCATCAAGGACGCCCTCGCCGAGGCCGTCAAGCAGGCGCAGCAGGATATGGGAACGAAGTAGAGGCGCGCGCGGAGGAGGCAAGCAAAGTGGGAGCAGGCTACTGGTTAGGGTAGAGATACGGGGAGGGGGGGTGTGAATTCATCGGGGGGAGCTTGAGACACTAGAACCATTCAAGTGGTTGTAGCTAGTGAAGTTGATAGCACTGAGTAGTTCTTTAAAAAAACGTTGTTTCAGAAAAACATTGTCTTGCTGGTAGTTCAAGATGGAAACATTGCAGTGTACTTGTTGGCAGAATTTATCTGGTACATGCTGGCGGGGGTATAGAATCCTCAAAGTCGCCAGGCTGGGGAATTGCATCTCTCCCTCTCTCTGCCATGAAGAAATCACTCAGGATTAAAGCGCGATTATTCAGAGCATTCCTTTTCTATATTCTGCTTGACTAGGATTTCCTTTGACAGTGCAATGCAGATGACCTCTCCTCTCTCTGTGCTTGTAACCTCCAACGATTGCCGCAAGTCCAAAGCTTCACTCGGCCAACCACAGGTAGAAGAAAATAATAAAAAAATGCCAATCATGACCAAAGAACTTGACCAAGTCTACCTCTAATAGTAGCCGATCCGCCTGCTACAAAACTGCGTCCACTCCCAGAACCTCATGGCGTCCGGCGCGCGCTCCGGCCGCGCCCATTCCTGCCGCGGGGGGTACGGCGAGGGATCCAGGGTCAGACGCAGCCGGAACCGGGGCGTGTGCTGCGGCGGCTGTCCCCGTTCCGGCACGTGCGACTGGGCGTGGAACGCGCCGCGGTCCAGGCGCAGCGTGTACGTCTTGGGCCGAAAGGCGGCCTCTTCGAGCACGTCCTCGTTGATGGCGGCGCGGTCCGGATGGGGGGCGGAACGCAGGCGGCGTTTGGTCAGCGTCAGCTCGATTTCCACCGGACCGGCGGCCAGGGAGGAAGCGTCGTCGTCGCCGTCCCTGCCCAGGCTCACCTGCTGCTGCAGAGACGCGGCGTCGCGTGCCTTCCACTCCGTCTCGGCCGCGATCCAGACGTTGAGCTCCGCGCGGCATGTAAGCTGCTTCCCGGGGAGGGGGAGGTTTCCGGGCATGGTTAGCAGCGCCGCGCATTCAAGGTAGGAAGAATGAAATAAAAACAAGAATAAAAAAGGAGAGCCATACCTTTCCGGTACCGTCTGGGTGAAAGACGATTTCGCTGGAAGCAAACGCGTCCCAGCGCCAGGGCTCGCTGCAAAGAATAGACAGCAGCGTCTCGGGCATATTTTAGCTGTGCAGATGTACGTGTCTCGGTTTTCGGCTGCCTACGGGATCACGGACAAGTCTTATATAAGTTGTGAATTTTTTTTTCTCTGCCGGCGCACAGATGCGCCCATCAGCAATCGAGCCAGTTCAAAAGTCATGCACACAAGTGTCCTGTTTCAAGTATCCTTACGTCACGCAGGGCAGGCAGGTTTCTTTAGCGCCATGCTGCAATCTGTGTTTATGCGTATTCCACCATTGTTATTCATCTACTTCTGGAGACTCTTCCCATTTGATACAAAAGTAGGGTGCTTCTTGCTGCTGGTGTGTTTGTTTCTGTCCAAGTAGTGGAAGCCTAGGGTCGCAGGCAGCTACGAACGGCATCCGTCCGTGGACAGTCGCAAACAAAGTACGCGGGACCGTCCACGCTGCTGCGATAAATCTTGGTAAATGCCCCATCCCAAATGAATTTAGCAAGAGATAGATGCAATGTTTGCGTGGTATTGCTAGCTCTCTTACTAGTGATAAGCGCCGTCTTTGGCGGCGCCAAGCGGCTGTGCAGGTGCTCTTCGCCGCGGTCAGCGTCTTGTACTACACCCAAAAACCAGTTAGCGGGAATTCAAAAGGCACTAGCTGAGACTCAGAGCTCCTTTTGAGCTAGTCAACATCCGCCGGTAAAACGGCTGAATCTCCCACCAAGGGAAAAAGAGTTACCCCGTGCCTCGGCTCCGCGAGTTATACTTTCTCCTACATTGAATAAACAAGTCACGCAATACCGTTGCGATTCGACGACTACACGACATCATTAGGAGTCGACGTGCAAGTTTTTTGTTGGCATAAGAAGGGAGCAGACCTTGGCTGAAGATGCTCCTCACTGGCTCCAAAGCTACGTTTCCTGTTGCTGCTCGTCAGAGCGCGCGAGATGAAAGAGGGAACAAAAAGGGTGACACGGGTAACGGATTATATGCAGTGTACCACTGATCCAACGTAGTACCGCCTTTTAGGCTTCCCTCCAGTACCAGTAACTACCACGGGAGGAATGCTGACTTGCTGACGGAGACTGGTGACCAGAGGCCGGGTTCTTGCATCCGAGCTTGCCTGCCCTCCGCCGAACACGCTTCATCTATCTTGCCCAGTGACTCGACACTTTCACAAATTCAGAAACAGTCAGTATTAGATAAGTGACACGAACCTTTCAAAGAAAAAAGAAAAGAGAAAGGTACCCTTGCACAACCATCGAGCGTGTGTGCTGTGGTCGCCTTGATCGGGCGGATCCCTTATGGTGAGGCGGTGAATTTAAAAAAAAAAAAAATAGTCGCATACTATCAATAGTACTAAGATAGAGCAGTGAGTAGCTTAATTCTCTGTGCGAGTAGGGAATCAGCGGCGTGCAAAAGTGCCCACCCGCCTTGGCAGCGTGGCGTCAATTCACTGCAGAACGGTGAGCAAGGCTCAGAGGGCGTACTGGCGCAGAGAGGCGGAGTGACAGTGTCTTGCCTATCCTTACATGAATACGGCCAAAAAAAAGACCACATGCTGAAATGCGCCACCTGGCCACGTTCCCTGGTCGAGAGCGCGTGAGGTGCCTAATGATGGTACCACACGCCCTGAACCGTGGGGAAACGGCCGTGTTGCAGAATTGTGATATATGCACATACGTACAAGGGCAAAAGTAGCACCACGCACTTGTGTGGGCGCCACCACTTTTGCCGTGGCACAATTGTGTGACGAGAAAAGCCCAATCTCGTGCGGCAGGTTGGGGAGAAATAGCCAGGTAGGCAGAAAATGCTCCATCCTCCCAACGTACCAGCTGGCGCCAATAGATGACATCAAAATCCAGCCAAGATGTTCCCGCCCAAGGAGGAAGTTAAATGGCATGTGACGGAGACTGATGCGACAGATAGTTATTGCGTGGCTTTGCCATGTAGCATTGGTGGCTGGCACAACGCGATGCATGCTGGGCGCGCCGAGACACAACAGACTTGGGGGTCGAATTATAACATATCAAGAAGACAACAGACTTGGGGGTCGAATTACAACATATCAAGAAGCTAAAAATACAAAATTGGTTACATGAGCCGAGATCCTTCACAAATACATCCGCTCCGGACGAGATCAGTGTGCCATCATGAGAAGAGCGGGAATTAACGACAGGTAACAGCTGTCGGCCCCTCAGCTTCTATTGCCATCTCTTCTGGATCACACACACACACACACACACACACACACACACACACACACATACAAACGACTCCGGGGTCCATAAGATTTGGAGCTGTTGGAGCGCCGATGATTCAATCTATTCGGGCACGCCTGGTTCTGTCCTTGGATGTTGTTGACGGTACATGGCGGGTTAAAAGCGGACAGAGTTAGGGTGATGGTCGGGGCTTCTGACCCGGTATATCGGCGGTGGAAGATCCTCGCCTCGAATGGCAGGCAACGAGGGTGCAAAAGTTGCCTTGTGGGGGAGCTCGCTATGCGTGCTGAGAGAAGGATTGGTGTCTGTGTACATATCGCTGCTGTCGCTGGCGAGGGATGTCGGAGACGATGAGGATGAGGATTCGGCCAAGAAGTATGATGCGGCGGCTGAAAACTGTAGCGCGGGATACGTAAACTTGAGGGAAAGTTCCAGCATGTGCTCTGCGACGCATGCATATACGTTGCGACGCGCGCCGACTTCAGCTTCCGTGAGAGCGGAACCAGAATGTTTCGAGGGGTTGCAGTTGGCTTTGTCGCCATTTTGTTTGGTGCTTGTAGCCGCCTGCGTCCCCTTATCAAGTGAGCGGCGAGGCGGCTCGGAGCCAGCTGAATAGTCTTTTCCGCAGATTGGACATGTATCACTAGGCCGATCGCAGGGCATACGGCTGATGCGAGCCAAGTTCAAAATCCTCTTATTCTTTTCCTGGGCGTGATGGCTGTGCAGATGACTGACCAAATCGGCGGCCATCAACTCGGTCGACTCGAACTCGGCTGGAGAGACACCTGGACACATTGGACACTTCCAATGAAGATTTCTTTGCAATTTCCGGACCCAGTCTGATCCATGGTAGATTCGCATGTGGGATTGCCACTGTCGCTCGGTTTCGAATGAGGGTGGGCTACTTTGGTTGCATTTCTCGTCCAAGCAGACGTATGGTTTGGCGGTATGCAGAAAGTGACACCTGGCTCTTTTAGTAACATCTTCTAGGTAGAGGCGTATGAAGACTTACATGTCTTGATCCCAGGCCAAGGAGTCTTCAGAACAAACCTCTCCACAGACTGGACAATTCGTCGGTGGAGGATCTGTTGGCGTCTGGAGAGTCTCTGCAACAGGCAACCGCCATAACGCTGGGTCGGGATCCTTGGGCCCAATGCGCTCTTGTTCGCTCTCATGTCTGTGATAGAGTGTCTTGTAGTGAGTAAAGAGAATAGCGTCTGCCAAAGCCTTGAGGAGACCGGCAGGTTCGTCGCCAGGTGCCGTGGGCCGTTCCAACCCAGACTCGAAGTAGCCCACTCCCATGGATTTCCACCAGCCAGGTGGCTCGTGATGGAATTTCGGCTGCAGAGCTGGATATGTGGCCCGAATGTGTTTGATGATGGCGCCATTCACGTCGGGGTTTTCATGGCGCTTGCGGTAAAGTGCAACTCGCCACCCGAATCCGGCAGGAGAGTAAAACAGTATAATGCTGGCCACATCTTCTAGTCGTGTGAGTGCTGCTTCCATATCCGCAAGCTGCGAGTCAAAGTGACCATCGGGTAGTTTGGGCACAGTATGCCGCTTTACCGTCGTGAGAACTATTGACCTTGCAGGTTAGATCGATTGTATAAAAGCAGGATAGTTTCTTCCTTACCAGTCAACAAATCCTCCTCCAGATCCGCCAGATCTAGCGTTATTAGGAGGCGAATTTTATTCCTGGATGGGTCCAACTGTGAGTCGAGGTTTGGCCCATCCTCTACACAGACACCAAGCGATTTGATCCAGTCCAGGAAGCGCAAGTGCGTCGCTTCGATTCGGCGCCTGTCTTTCTGCTTGAGTGGCTGACGCTCGATTTCATCCAGCACAGCGTCGCAAAATTCTGCCCTCGAGTAGAGCGGGCGCTTGACGCGGTGCGGATTCAGTCTCATGGTGCAAAGTGATGCAGGTAGGTTTGTTGGCGTGGGCAAGATGTCTGAACTTGAAGTGTATGTGCTTAGATTTTAAAGGAAACCGGAAGTTGAAGGAGGGACATTGTCACACCGAGTTTGAGGCACTGTTTGTCGCCGCCCTGCGAGGTTACACAAAGCGTCAGCCAGTGGACGGTGGACGTCTGGCCGCCGTCAGCCAGCTGGCAAATAGAGGTAGGCTGCAGCTGAGGTCTGACGGACGCAAGCAAATCAAACGGGCGCCTACCCGAAACAGTGGGCGCAATGCAATGGATCGACGGATGGGACGGGATGCAACATGTGCCTGCACATACGACCGTGACGTGCCCTGGTCGCATGGGTCCTTTTGTCTGTGCTGCCTGCACTGCTTGCCTGATGGCCGCCTTTTCCGCCAAGGTACTCGGTACATAGGTACATAGTTCCCTACCTAGATACAGTGGGGGGAGGTGCATGCACCCGAATGTACCGAGTACATCCGGATCGACACTGTGGGGCAGCTGGTATCGCGTTGCAGCAACAGATTTGTACCGAGTACGGAGTACAAATCTGCAAATCTGTCAGCTGGCCCCCAACATGTATTTGGCCCCGCCCTCATCCTCCTTTATGCATCCCAGTATTAATATGCACAAATATTGCATAATCTGGCCCAGCACCGCCCAGCACCGCCCCATTCCTCATTCCTCCTCTCTTGATTCTTGTTGCGGCGGCAGCTGTAATTTGTTAGACCTGCGGATTTATCATGCCGGCGTAGGTCACGTTGAAAATGTGACTCATTCTTTAGGTACAAACACTAACTGGCCTTGATCGCCGATTTGCTTTCCGGGATGACTGGCAGGCAGCGCTCCTACATCGCCCCCGGCAGAATCCAACGGATAGAGGTAGACTCATCCCCCGATGCCTCTCCCCCTTCGCCACCGGAGTCTGTTTCAGTTTCCACGTCAAAATCATCTGCGCTGTTCAACACAGGTTCAGAAACCCTCTCCCCCACTAATTTTGCACCATGCCTGTACGGTTTTGCAACCAGCCGCTTTTCCCCGGTAAAGATGAGCTTCCTTTTATACTTCAGCTTGACGACTTTGATTGCAAAAATGGCCTCTGCTTCTTCCGTCATTCGCTGGCTGGTGGCACTGCCATGAGTATATGTCACCTCCGGGCCGAGTTTGACCGTGCCACAATCCAATCCCACCTTCCCATGTGTTTCGAGCCGTTTGCCACGACAAATCTCGATAGCTTTTTCGCTGCAAAGCTTCAACCCGGTGATCATGTAAACGTAACCGCCAAAACAGTCCAAATGCCTCTGAACCTTCGGGGAGCATTCAATGGCTCTGATGTAGTCCGACAGTCCAAACGTTACCTGCAGCCCACGCAATTTAGGGATGGAAAAGCTTTCCACGTCATTGCTCTTGTGACCAATCTGTATTCTGCCACCAAAAGCTTGAGAGGCCGCTGCCTCGGTAAACATGGCATTACCGCTGGTGCCTATATCTGTTGCGCCGATAGAGACGTTGGACATGCAAGACGGTTTGACTCGACGCTCGTCATATGTCAGAATTTCGCCGTCGCCATCGTTGATGATCATCAAGTCTTCAACGTTGCTGATAATGTGACCAATCAACAATTCACCCTGATGGAAAAGAATAGGAAGAATGTGGTATTCATCGACTCTGACAGACGCCATTGAATATTTTTTGAGAGTTTTTAAATCGCCGAGGACGATTTCGAGGGGCAGCTGTACTGGGAGGGCGAAGAGCGAGGTGCCAAACATATACTGGTATATCCTCCAACAAACACTCAAGATAACCATAGTTATAGATTGACTCTACTTACAGACTAGTTCCCCGAAAACAGGCCCTTGACATCTTTTCAGCTTGGGGTAGCACAACATACGGCTGAGCCAGTATTTACGAAGTCGAGAAGGGAGGGGGGGCGGATCACTAACATGGCTGATATGAGCTACTTTCCAGTGTAAACTGCCATGCAATGCATCTGTACAGAGTACGCCACGATGTGATAACAGTCCTTGCCGTACGGAAGAGGAGGCAAAGCTTCCCGGGTGGGAGTGAGATTGAAAGGCTGAGCCCCGTCTTCATTCTGTGCTGGTTTTGTAACAGGCTGTTCCCCCATCGGACAGAGCTGCAACATTCGTGCTCGGCAGAACGATACAGCTTCTAAACGTTTCCCCGGCTGGTCGAGCTAGATTAGGGCGATGGATCGCGCTATCTTTATAGAAGAGTGTATGTTCTCAAAACTACTGAAGAAATTATATCCCATCACGAATACCATCAGACTAACGAATCCGCTAAAGTGCGATCGCTGGATGCGCTGCCAACCCTGGAGCGGACGGAACGACGGAGTCTTCGCACAAGGCTGCGGAACTTTTTCTCAAAATCATACGCGGAAACGCTTGGTCTCCTCAGAAGCTTCAGGTCCAACCATTCACCGCCTCCGAAAGATGAGCCTGTCACCGATTTCCCAGACAGGTCGGCCAGGTTGCACATCGCAAACAGAGTCATGAAGCTCGCCGACACGGCCAGATTCACCGACGACGGTCCTGAAATGGCGGAGTTGGAGTCTCTCCTCAACTGCGGCATCCGTGAGAACCTGGATATCCTTCACTCCGTGTTAGAGGAGCAACTGCGCAACTGCAAAACTCACCATGTCCTACGCCTGCGACTGACTGGGTTCCGCCACAAAGATCACAATGACTCGAAGACAAATTTCCAGTTTTGCATCAATCCGCGTCACAGTGGTCCCACCTACCAATACTCATGGGTGAAATGCACCGCGAATTTCCAGTTGTATGTCCACTCTGCTGCTTTGGCTCTCCCTTTAGATGGAACGCTCGCATTTGTGCCACCGTCCCCGTGATTTACAAGCATTGTGCTCTCAGCACAAACCTGATGGGCGAATAATGTCATCAAGTACATCGAGGCTAACTGGTCAGCAGGCATTCGTCCACCCCAAGGGCAGAAAAAACGCTCTGCCAGCAAATCGACAAAGCTGAGAACGACAACAAATATCTTCACATCTCCATCAATCCTCAAGGTCGAACACAGCCGAATATCAATAGCGACAGGGCAGACCGAAATACACCGCAATGGCCAGAAAATCACGATTTGGTCGTCGAGTACGGAGGGTCTACCGCAACGATGCGAATGAAGAGCTTGGCCCAGCTTATAGCGGCTCCCGAAAATGCAGGGATTCATAGCTCGACGCATGCTACCGTGAAACAGAAACGTCGTTTATGCTTCAATAGACGTCGCTTATGCTTCAATTTGGCTCTTTCTGCCTTCTTCCTCAAAGTTTCGTCAAGGAAACAAGTTCGATGGTGTCAGGGAAGCAACCTTGATGCGAACATATACTTTTGTCAAGACCCAGGCCCTCCTTGCCTGCAAGACCAAACACAAGCATATCTCTCCTATCCAATTGATCTTGGCTCACCAGAGCCAGAAGCTGATCGAGACCTGGAATGCGATCTGAGATTACTAGAACTGGGGAAGCTTTTGGTTGAGGTCAGGTTCTGGAGAACCCCAGACATTGGTGGCGGTGAAGACATGTCCATGGAAAAGATCCGACAGGAGTTGGAGTCGCTCATAATTGACCAAGAGTTGAATGGCTGTGAAATTTCCTTCGTCAACATCGTCAAAGCATGTCTCGATTCGGCGGGCAAGTTTGCCACGGGAGCGCCTGGCGACCGCGACTTCCTAGAATACATGTTCTCCCAAATTATCCAGCCACTCGCTGCATGGGCTGAGATCGATATCGCTGCCGAGGATTCTGATGACCGCATTTTAGCTGTCACTGAGGAACCGCGAAAGCAACTGGAGGAGCTGCCCCATAGCAGGGTCAGGGGAGTGGACAGGTTTGTTCTCTTTTCTATTGCAACCATCAAATCGTCGAGCTTCGGAAGCTAACAACAATGCAAAGTGACGGAGCGAGATTGTTCATGCATAAAATGCGGGATTTCACGAATAACTATGTGAATAAACTCTGCAGCAGACCGACGAGCAAGACATTGCCAGGCCATCGGAACAACAAGGTCCGCATAGCTGTAATCGACAGCGGCGTGTGCAGCAGAGATTTGGAGATCCGGCTGTATATGAAAAACAAGAGAATTGCAGATGTGCGCAACTTCTCCAGCTTGGATGTTCATGATTGGGAAGACATCCACGGTCATGGAACAACGGTTGCGAAAATAGCCTTGGAAGTTGCCCCACAGGCGGACATCTTTATCGCAAAGGTAGTGAACTCGCAGGACATTTCGGACGCCAATTTATTCAATGTGGCCAAGGTGAGTAACTTGAGCTTGCGGTGAAGCGATGGCCAACTTGGCTGTACTACTGTCTGGAGCTAATACTTTGGGTCGGGACCAGGCAATTGATTGGGCGGTTCAAGTTTGGAAAGTAGATATTATCAACTTGTCACTCGCTATGAAGCTCAAGTTGGATGATATCGATGAGTCGCTCTCATATGCCTTGATTCCAGGATCGAAAATTATTTTCGCCGCGGCACACGAGAATGTTGGCCGCAACGAACGCCCATCTTGGCCCGGTAGTAAAACCGGTGTCATTGCGATTCACTCCACTGATGGCTTGGGGAACCCTCTCCCAACGAATGCAAGCGTCGGCAAGGAGGAATACTTTGCCACGTTGGGAAGTGGGATCCCCGTGAAAGAGGCCTTCTACAAGACGAAGAATCATCGAGATGTCTATGCGACGGGAGCGTCGTACGCGACACCAATCGCGGCAGGGATTGCCGCCAACGTGCTGGAGATCCTCCGGCATGAGGCATCCGAACGGTTTGATGATGTGAGGACGTATTTCTACAATGGCCGCTACATCAAAACACTCTTCGAAGAAATGTCCCAGGAAACCAACGGGTGCCGTTTTGTGCAGCCATGGACATTTTGGGAGGCCATGAGCGACTCCTCAAGGTTTCGTGACATTGAACTGAAGCCAAACGACGAGAAGAATATCATCAAAGTGTTGGAGCTGTTGGCGGTTTGAGGGAAAAGCAATGATGGAGGACTTGAAATGACGATAGTAGACGGACTAGAATCGGCTCGAAGATAGGGTATGAAACTGTGCAATAAAATATCGCCATGTGTGTCAATTTTTCCATGCGTACAGTAACTGCGCATTTTTGAATAAATAAAGGGGTAAATTTTCTTTTCTCTGGACAAGAAAGAGCTCAGAAGCTGAGCGGGTGAGTCGGTGCCCGGCCATGGTTCGTGACTGGGCGCAATTGCGCAGACAGTCAGATGAACAAAACTACTTGTAGTAGACGGCTACATAGGTGTATAATATAATCTAAGTAGTTCGTTGATATATTATTAGAATTCGCTAATAACTAGTTAGTATAGTTACACGATTCACGCTAGGTGCGGCCCGAGTAACCCGAGTAACGCGTCAGGGGCTAGGTATCTACTTAGGTACAGGTAGGTACCTACCTACACTACTGTAGTTACGCGGAGGTGTTTCTAACATGGCCTCTGGGGGATTTCTACATCATAGACTATTAGGGCACGATGTAAACCGTATTTTAGAAGCTCAAATATTATGTCAGAAATGCCCAGATTTATGGCAACATTGTTAGGAAATATGTCAGACGGAGAAAACATGTTCTGGTCAGAAAACCCCGCCTCCCGCGTTAGGCCTACATACCTGGAGGTACCTACCAGGGTAGGTGGGGAACCCAGGTAGGTACTGTTTAATAAAGTGCTGCTCCGTAGGTGATAACTATCCCAAACACCATACCAGGTCATCCAGGTAATCACTACATACCACCCCATGGATATCCCCAACCGACTCGAGCGGCCAGCACACCATCCGTTGAGCCTCCATCTTTCTTATATGGACAAGCAAACAAGTTAGCGATGGCTTTGAGGAATCGTTCAAACAGTCCTTTGTTCGGCATTTCTGGTGTGGGGACTACTTCGGTGAGTCACACCTATCTGTGCAACGCAAAAAGCTGAAGGAAGATTGGAGTGGGCGTCCTAGTAACACCACACGATGACTCTGCTGCGTCGCGCTACTTCCATTCCTCCACCAAACGTGCGACTTCTCTTCTCTCTTGCATCTTCGTTGGCACCGACAGCCTCCTTCTCAGTCATCTTCACTTCACGTCCGAATCATGGCTTCTGACGGCCGCAAACAACCGCCGTGGACCCCCCCTCAACCCCGTCCCGATGCTCAGCTGCCCCGTTTGAAGATCTACAACAGCTTGACGAGAAACAATGACGATTTTGTCCCAGCTGACCCAACTGGAAAACTGGTAACGTGGTACGCGTGTGGGCCAACAGTTTACGAAGATGCTCATCTTGGTCATGCCAAGAATTATGTCTCAACCGATATTATCCGCCGCATCATGACAGACTACTTTGGCTTTCATGTCAAGTTTGTCATGAATACAACTGATATTGATGACAAGATCATCCTCGCCGCTCGCCAGCAGCACCTGCTGGCCCTCTTTGAGAAAGAACATGCCGCTGAGGATGGCTTGGTGAGCGACACAGTCTTGACTGTTGCCAAAGCAGCGCTTCGACAGTACATCGCCAAGAACCTCCCATCATTGCCCTCTGATACGGATCTGGATACAATTTCCAAGGCTGTCGACAAAGTATACGGAGAAAAGGTTGCTCCAACCGCCGTTGCCAATCCCGCAGCTGCAAGGCATAGTCAAGCTGTTACCGTCGACGATCTACTTTTGAAGGCGCATCTTGGGACGGCACAGTCAGCTATCGAGGCTCTTCACAGCCCGCCCAAACTGCCCGAGTTTCTCGCCAAGACGAATGATATCTTGCTCCCATACCTCGATGCTTTACATGGTGCAGACGTTGACTCAAACAATCACAAAATATATCTCCAACGGACTCAGAAATTCGAGCGCCGATTCTTCGAGGACATGGATGCGCTCAATGTCCTGCCGCCGCATCAGCTCACTCGTGTGACTGAGTACGTCCCCCAGATTGCCCAATTTGTTGACAAGATTGTGGCAAACGGCTTCGCTTATGCAACGTCCGATGGCTCTGTCTATTTCGACATTGACTCATTCGAGAAGGCTGGGCATAGCTACTCAAGATTGGAGCCATGGAATAAGAACGATCGCGCCCTTCAAGCTGATGGCGAAGGTTCCCTGTCCAAGGGTGGATCCATGAAGCGAAGCCCGAATGACTTTGCGCTGTGGAAAGCGAGCAAGCCGGGCGAACCAGCATGGCCGAGTGTTTGGGGTCATGGACGGCCGGGATGGCATATTGAATGCTCTGCAATGGCTTCTGATGTGCTTGGGAAGACGATAGATATACATTCCGGAGGAGTTGACCTTCGCTTTCCTCACCATGACAATGAGCTGGCACAATCAGAAGCCTACTGGTCGACCCCTGGCTGCCAAGTGCAATGGACAAACTACTTCATCCACATGGGACCACTGAGGTAAATGCGGCCTCGCAAAACGCATAGAGTGAGTCGTATAGTGGTACTGACATTTTCTAGAATTCGAGGTCTCAAGATGAGTAAAAGCCTCAAGAACTACACCACCATCCGAAGCGTTCTCTCTGAAAAGGAATGGAGCGCACGATCCCTCCGCATTTGCTTTCTCCTTATGCCTTGGCAAGACGCCATTGAAGTGACCGAAGAGCTGATGAAGGCCGTCTTCAGTTGGGAAGATAAGCTCAACAACTTCTTTTTGAAGAGTTTGGACATATGGAAACAGTACAATGCTCGACCCTCGACAAACCAATCGCCTCGCGCCTCGGACCAACCTTTGCTAGATGCACTGGAAAAGGCGAAAGCTAGCGTCGACGCAGCTCTGCTGGATTCTTTCAATACCTCAACTGTTATGCGGGTCATTGCGGATCTCGTCACCGAGTTCAACTCGACGGAGGCAGTGTCAGACCAAACGATTATTCTGCTCGCCCAGTGGCTGACACGCATGGTCACAATATTTGGCCTTGATCGCGAAGGAGATCTCAGTATAAAAGACCGCGTAGGTTGGTCGGGTCTCGAGATCCCTACGTCAGCAAAGCCGTACATCTATCCTGCGTCCCAATTGCGCGACAAGGTTCGAACCTTGGCGCGTTCCGGCTCTGTGGATTACACAGCTATAGCCACACTTGCTGACGACGTTACACTCATGGTGCCAGACTCGACGTCTGAATCCTCCAAGCCATACAACCAGGTGCTGCAGCAATTTGGCTCTAGTATTAAGGCTCTCGCACACCAGCAAGCCGCAGCAAAAGACCTTCTCGCGCTCTGCGACCAGCTGCGCGATGTGCATCTATGGAATTTAGGCATATATCTTGAAGACCGCGCCTTGCAACCCGCTCTTGTTCGACCCCTGGATAAGCTACTGGTAGAGGCACGGGCAGCGCAGGAAGAAGCTGCCGGTGCGAAGGCAGCAGCCAAACTGCAGCAGGAGGCCCGGGAGGCTGAGAAGGAACAGGAGTTGCACGAACGTGCCAAAATTGATCCCTCGTCGATGTTCAGGACCTCGGGCGAATACCTGGAGTGGGACGAAAGCGGTATCCCGACCGTGGATTCTACAGGGACTGTAATCTCCAAAAATAGACGTAAGAAATTGGTCAAGGATTGGGAGAAACAAAGTAAGTTACATGAAGAATGGCTCGCAAGGCAGTAGCCAGCCTGAGGACAAGACTACCCAGACAGCGATACTCTCTCGATGGATGTGTGCTCTCAACAGTCTCGATTAGTCTCAAGTTGTTGAGTTTCGTGGAAATTTTTGCTGCAATCGCAGATTCACCTAGGCAGCGTCACACTTTCTGGCTCGAGCATGTTTAGTATTGAAGGGGAATAGGAGGTCATTGTCACCCGGAGTTTGTCAGACGGTGGTGAGGTTACCCAGTACAGAAAGCGTCAACCAGGCAGCCACACCGGGTTACCATTCCGGGATGAGCCTTGTATGCCGCATCAGTAAAGGGAAAAAGAACATAGAAAACATCAAATCCACATGCTGCCTGGCGGGCCGTCATGTGGCCGTGCCAGTTGTTGGAGGCTGCAGCAGAACGAGCACAAGAAGCAACCTTGCACCCCCCCTTCGCCCAATGTTCGCTGTCATGCCGATGACCGCGATTCAAGCAGGCTGTCTGCCTAATTACCAGAAACAGCCTGAAGGCAATGGACCGGATGCAGGGAAACGGATGCGCCCTCGTGTTGTGTGCAAGTGGCCGTCGCCATGTACGTGAACAGTACTGTTTGTCTGTGCTGTCACTCAGCCTCACAAATAGTTACATCCAGATCGACAGCGACGCATCACCAGAACGCAGAGGACGGTCGCGCATTCGCCACGGCTCCCGCCCTTTGTGTGCAAATGTCTATTCGCAAGGTTACCACATACGCTCTGATGTTGGTGCAAGTCCCCCCGACATTGACACTGAAGCCAACGACGCTGGACAGAGTCAATGCTCAATAGCAGAAGAAAAATCCATCTCCATGTTTGAAAAAAAAAAAAGAGCTGCAAAGCGCGCAAATTCCCGTGACATTCAAGTTTCCGTGAGATTATTTGGCTGCGAATAAACAGCGGCGCTCGGCAGCGGTCACACACACCCGAGCTTAAAGGCTCTTTTAGATGGCTGCTGAGTTTGGCCCTTTTCGATGCCTAAAATATGCGATTCATAGCACGGTCTGAAAATAGGAACAGTGATGTTGACACCGACCTCGTGAGTGATCTAACACTGTGACTGACATGTTCTGTTCAACAACACGGTCACGTCGTGCCAAAAAAAAAAAAAAAAACAGCGCAGTTAATCCTTGCTTGGTCTGGCATCTAAAAGCTTCTCTAGGTCTACTCAGTCATCGACGGAACAAAAACCACGTCTCAGCATCGCACCCGAAGGGAAACTCACTCTGCCGTCCGCTGCCGCCTTTCCGCGACGGGCTGCTGCACTCCCCCTCGCTTTTTTCCGCCCATAGTCCAGCCAGCCCCCATCTTATCGGTATACCATTTCCCGAGTTTTGATTGCAAACAACGAATTCGACCGGCGCAGTCGACGCCATCCGCGTCTCCCGTCGCGAGGACCAAAACCAGTCCCAACGGCCCTTCCACCGCCCGCCCTGATTCACCTGGCGGTGCGTGGTCGACTCGAGCGTGCTCAAGCCGCTCGCGAGCATCTCGAGTCCAGTGACAGCCTGCACAATCTGTTTCTTGTTCAGCACTTTGAGACCTTGCCTACCACCGATGACGGCGCCAATCCAGATCTTGTCCGGAGACATGGGCTCGATGGCATGGAATTGCTTCGCTGGTGTATTGGCGGGATAGGGGCGCCGCGAGTCGCTCGGGGGGCAGTTGCATTTCCCGGTTTGGCGGCCTTGCTCGGGTGGTGGTGTCTGGGTGAGGGTCTGCGCCTCAGAGTAGCTGGGCGGGGAGGCGCAGTTGGCGATGCTGCGGCTGGTACCGGGCCAGGCAATGTTCTCCAGCTCTGAATAGCTGGGTGGGCTGGATTTCTCGTTGCTGTCGCTCATGATGCGAAAAGTGAGGGGAGCGTTTGGGTGAGGAGTGGGCAGGATGGATGACAGACTGGGGAAGCGGGTGGGATATTAAATGGATGTGAGAAGACAGTAAAAAGATTAGGCTGTCTGGCATCTCTGTACTGAGGCATCACCTGCCACTATGATACAATCTTCCGGTGAAGCGTTGACTGCTGCCTTCGCCGTCCGACACAGACACGGACTGTGTAGCAGGCTCAGCGCCCCTGAGTTCGCCAGTTATTGAGCGAAGAGGAGGCCTACAGAAAGCAGGCAACAACCGTTTCTCGCCCAGTCTCACACTATCAAGCAGCTCTCCCCATTTCTCGTTCAACATGTCCGCCTCGATGAGGCAGAGGTACAGTGTTGAACTGGTAGCTTTCCAGCTCCCCTGACTCTGGCCTTCTTACACCTGCTACTTTGTGGACGACACGGTGGAGGTTTACATTTCACATCTGGCAATACCAGATTGGTAGACACAGTTCTGAATCCATATAATGCGAACGGACTGATAATGTTGACTAGCTAGAAATTATATCCATCTTAGGTTCAAGGAGTTCTCTGACGGAGGAGATTCCGGTAACGACCACGACCGGTTCTTCATCTTCTATACACCTGAGGAAAGCGTCCGGGCTGCCGTGCCACAGGAAGGGAAGGACGCAGTGCCTTGCAACAAGATTGTACAGCCGCACCGGTTCGAATGACAAGACACGCAGGCACCAGCAGCCACTTTCCACGTCACTCTGTAGCCTAGAATTGAGTCGTCGCCCCAACATCTGACACAAGCCCGGCTCACCAAAGAGCCCCCCCCCCCCCGCCCTCCCATTTTGGGTCACGCTGACGCGGCTTGTCTGTCACGCTGACTTTTATTATGTCCCTGCCTGCGTCTTTGCCGTTGGCCGTTGGACCTTGTACGACGAATCCTTGAAATGCGTCCCATGAGCAACCGTCTATACGAGATCTTGATGAGCCGTACAGCATACACCTTGCCGTCTATATCCGTCTCCGCTCGGCCTGTCTCCTTTCCATCGACGAGTTCCACCACAGTGTGCGTGCTGTGCTCGGATTCCGAGGCGCAGGCCAGTTGCAGCCCAGTGACAATGTAGACGGGCTGGTGGTACTCGTGCTCCCACAGGTAGGCTTCGGCTCGCGGGGAGGCGTCGATCAGGGCGAGGCATTCGTCCGCCGTGATGTCAAGCAGCTCGATCGTGAGCTCCGCGCAGACCTTGTAGCAATGCGTGCGAACGTGGTCAGGCGCAAGGGTCTCGACATGGCCGGAGATGTTGGGGGATGCTCGGGAACGGCGTCGGCATCTCGCAAAGGTATGGACTTTGCCTGTGTTAAGTACGTTCATGTCATCGAGGCGGCCAATGATGCTGCCGATTTGTATCTCGCCTTTTTTGCGGGGAACTTTGAGGCAGTGGTAGCGGTCCATATTCATTCTTTTTTGAATTGGGTCGAGATGGTCGAGGACTTGCAAATGATGCGGCGCTTTGTCACAGCGAGCAGGGATTTGCTGAGGACCAAGGAAGGTGTAGTAATAGTGACAGTGGTATAGTGATGGCTGTTTGAGGATGCCATTACTACATGGGCTGCGCTGCGCCTTAAGTATTCGAGCGACAAGTCAAAAGTGCTACGTAGAGGGGGTTCCAAAGAACACAGACGTAAACGCCGAAAAGGCCCAAGATTTGTTGCTTTTTTGTTTATTGTATTCGGCGGCATGAGTAGCAAACACGATGAGCTTCAAAACGTTTCTCGACAGCATCACCGAGACAGCAACATCTTAACATGAGGCGCGGTGTGACAGGCAGGCATCCACATTTCAAGGCCCCCCGTCCTTCGTACAATGTTAGGCAGGCCATGAGCAGTCCAAATGCAGGGCGACACGCGCCGGGCCGCCACCCCCCAAGGAGGCCAAAAAGGGGTGTTGGTCGTACCTGCTCCGGCTCCAGCCGCCCCCGACGTAACCCCAGATGCAGAACAAAGGCATGCTATTCACGCAAACAAGCTCGTCATGAGACCACCGCAGACAGCGAATAGTCAGCATATGTCGAGTAATAAATAAAACATCGTCACGCCTCATGGAAGCCAGCTGCGACGCATCCAAACCACGAACCGCTCGCAAAATTATTTAGGCACCCGGCGCGAACACCTTTTCCGTCTCCCCCAGGACCAAAGACCCGTTATCTCAAAGACCAAAGACAGCATGGGACTGCCGCTACATGGGTTTGTGAAGGAGGCCGAGCCGGGACCGAGTGAGCGATGCAGGCGTGCGTGCCGGTACGAGTTCTTTCGTCGACTCAGCGACAGCATGTCGGAGGAGATTGGCCGATGCCTGACCACCAACACCCCTTTGCCGGCGCATCTTGCAGTGTACGCGTCGGTGCTTCGCATCGACGACTACCTCGTGCACGCCATGATTGCCTTTGAAGGGGCGGGCGAGACGTCCCTCGAAGATATGCCCGCAGCCCCCCAACCCATGACAGCGTCGTTGATCTCAGCTAACCCGGAAAGGGGCATCTACTCCTACAGAAAGCAGGCATCGCAGAAAAGAGCCCCCGGCTGCAGGCATTCATCTGGCGCAGCCTCGACACGATGAAGAACGCGGCCGCCGTCAAGCGGTGCCTGGCGGCGCCGCTCGCCACGCAGCTCGCGGAAGAGGCGTACGCCAACATGGTCCATCCCGCACCAGGGGACCACACCGTCTATCCGCTCTTTCAGCTGGAGACGGTGGCGTCGGAGGACCAGCCGCCGCTGGCGGACGGGGAGGGGGAGCTCTGGCCGTCGACGCCGGCCTGGCACGTGCAACGGCACTGGCGGGCCATGCCCAACTCGCGAGGCAGGGCGGCGCTGCGCGATCGGCTGATTCAGCTGGGATATCTGAAGCCTGAGTATGGATAGTGTCGTTGTCGTGATTCGGTACAAGACATTTCGTGGGAGAGTACAGACGAAGTTTGAATAAAGTCGTGATAGCCTTGAGACTGCCTAAAAACGATGCTGAAACGTCAACGTGTGAAGTGGTGAACTGTGGGCGCCAAAAATAGCGCTAGCGGGAGACGCCGGCCGGTAACCGGAGGCTGGTTGGTTGGCAGTGAATGGGAAGTGGAAACTCAACAGTTGGCCGTGTTGAGACAACGATTGAGATGAGCCCCACCGCATCGCTATCGTCAGCTTACAGGTACATAATAATAGTAATAAGCCGGTCTTTTTCGTTTTCTTTTTCGTCTTTGCACTGGCAAATGTCTCTTTTCCGCTTCCACGTCCACTGTTATTACTGCCATCCCGTTATTGTCCTCAACGACGATTTAGTGCTTAGAAAAAGATATATCAGGCTCCTTGCTTATAATTAGTAAGAAAGCTAGTTACGGACATGCGGAAAGCTCCTCAAACTTTCACATCGTTATGGAGTGCCCCGAGATTGTCGATCTGAGCCAGCTCTACGCCACGCCGATGTCGCCTGTATCTGGAGATACGGGCGTAGATACGAGCAACCTGCCGCAGTCCTGCTCGACGACCTCAATTGGCGAGGAAAGGGCCGTCAATGCAAAGAGAATGCCCATCTGCAGCTTCACACCGTGCTTGTTCCAATCCTACATTTGCGACTATTCTCTTCCCATCTTTTGTTTTTCTTTCCGTGTCCTCTTATGTACATACTACCGTAGACAACCACTGTAACTTTTAGCGCCCGCGACCCTGAAAAGCCACGGGTCCTTACAGTGCTTGCAGCACTGCTCGTCCGCCAATTTTCGCACGTGATTGTTTCAGGCACAAGCTTTCCCGAGAAATACAGGGGCCTCCACTGCCCGGACATTCACGGCCAGCGCCCACCGAATAGCCTCGGGCCAGAAGAGCTTCCCAAACAGCGCAACCCCGGTGGTCAGACGCCGTGTGGTGCGACACTGCTACGGCGGCCCGGCCGGTCGATTTTCTGATTGGATTGACTTAGTAGCTACGGGTTTTTGTTCCCCAGAAAGTTGCGCGACTATCTGACATGTGTTGTAGCCGATACCCCGTAGCTCTCTCACTCTCCGACTTCCTGCATCTATCCGTCCTTCATCCTCGCCTTTGTCCCTGTACGCATCCACCACGTTTCCAATTGGCAGCGTTTTGATTTTCGCGTCCGACTTTTCCCCCCAAGTATGTCTTTTCACCCAAATCTACCCGACAACCCTTGCCCCCAGAGAGCCTAGCAAGGCGTTGAGCTCTGACTCAGCAATCTCTGCCGTGTTGGCAGCCACAGCGGCTTTTAGTGGCTGGAGCTCCCTCCTAATCCCAACCGTTGTCCACTGGCGCAACAACGTGTGTGGCTGCTCACCCGGCTGCCCCTACTTCTTCTTCTTAGCCTCCTCCCCCCCCCCGTCCTCCCTTTCCCTTCTCCAACTTTACACACTTCATCGCAGCTACTAACGCTCTCCTCTCTTCCCCTTTCGCAAAGAAGCACCCTATCCCCTTGGTCAGGGATATCCCCTTTCGCAGCAAAAGCGCGCCCAATCGAAAAAATATGGTCGCCGCCGTCCCGTCCGCCGCTGGAAGCGGCAAGTTGGAGAAGCAGCCCGTCAAGTTCTCCAACCTGCTCCTCGGCGCCGGTCTCAACATGTTTGAAGTCACCACCCTCGGCCAGCCCCTCGAGGTCACCAAGACCACCATGGCCGCCAACCGTGGCGACGGCTTTGCTACGGCCTTGGGACGCATCTGGTCCCGAGGTGGTGTTCTCGGCTGTATGTCCCTTCATTTCCACCGGTCGCGCCCGATTTGTTCGCATAACTAACGCATTCCCCCTTACAGTCTACCAGGGTCTCATTCCCTGGGCCTGGATCGAAGCCTCCACCAAGGGCGCCGTCCTCCTCTTTGTCGCCTCCGAGGCCGAGTATTATGCCCGCTCCTTTGGCGCGTCCGAGTTTGGAGGCGGCATCATCGGCGGCATGACAGGCGGCGTCGCCCAGGCCTACGCCACCATGGGCTTCTGCACCTGCATGAAGACGGTCGAAATTACCAAGCACAAGCAGGCCGCCGCCGGCATCGCGCCCCAGTCCACCTTTGCCACCTTCATGGACATTTACCGCAAGGAGGGCATCAAGGGCATCAACAAGGGCGTCAACGCCGTCGCGATTCGCCAGATGACCAACTGGGGCTCCCGCTTCGGTCTCAGCCGCCTCGCCGAGGGTGGCATCCGCCGCGCTACCGGCAAGGGCGACTCCGAGAAGCTTTCAGCGCTTGAAAAGGTTGGCGCCTCGGCCATTGGTGGTGGCCTCTCGGCCTGGAACCAGCCCATCGAGGTCATTCGCGTCGAGATGCAGTCGAGGACCGAGGACCCCAACCGCCCCAAGAAGATGACGGTTGGCAACACCTTTCGCTATATTTACGGCACCAGCGGCCTGAAGGGCCTCTACCGTGGCGTCACTCCTCGCATCGGTCTCTCCATCTGGCAGACAGTCTGCATGGTTGCCTTTGGTGATATGTGAGAATCCCCAGCTGCCCACACGTGTAGTCCCCCACATTGCTAACCTTGTGTTCTCTCATCTAGTGCCAAGACGTATGTCGAGCAGCTCACCGGCGAGAAGGCTACCGCTAAGCATTAATCGGCGTTGAACTCGATTTCTTTTTTCTTTTCGAGTATGGGAAGCCAGGTGAAATTGGCCGCCCATGACAGCTCACGTTGGACCGACGACAACAATGTCTTTCTATTCTGCTTGAAAAAATGTCAAATTATAGAGCCATGTATCGATTATTAATGACGATGGTATAGAAGAATACTTGAAAGAACCACTATCCTGTTGGAAATCTAGTTGCTGTCTACATGTGTTTGGTTATGCTGAGAAGAATGTATACTGAGACCTTTTTACTGAAGATGATGGGCATGCATGTACTCGTTAGACAAGTTGTAAATGCTGTAAATTCAATTCTTTTCTACATAATGTGCACATGTGTTCATCCGTTCTTCCCTTTGTCTTGCCGTCATCCAACACAGTACACTCACTACACGCCCAAAATTCTCGATATGCAAAATGCAAAATGCAAATGCAAAAAAAGGCGTCCCACCTTCCCCCCGTCTTGTAAATGACAAAAAAGAAAACGCCTCAAAGCCATGTATGCCTCTTATCCGAAGAAACATGAACATAAAAGGGTCAAGCAAAAAAAAACAAAAAAAAAAACAGATCAGGACTCTGTTTCCGTATCGTACGCATCCGAATCATCCTCCGTCGTCGGTCCGTCCTCGTACGTGAAGCCCCAGTCCTCGCCCTCGTCACCTAGGTCGAGCAGAGCCCCCGCGCGCACCAGCGCCTGCATGTCGGCGTCCTCGAGCGCCGCCGCGTCAAACTCCTGCGCGACGTTGTCGCGGTGCCGCCGCTCCGAGGCCTCGTCGGGCGTCGCGGGCGCGGGCACGAGCCGGCGCAGGGAGCGCCGCCGCCGGGCGCTGCTGCTCCCCGCGCCGCCGAGCACGCTGTGACGGCTCTCCAGCTGTAGGCGCTCGTACCCTGTGACGAGCGGCGCGGCCGGGTCGTCGTCGAGGTGGGCGTCGCGCAGGAAGAGCCCCGAAGCGGCGTACTGCGGCCCCTGCACGGCGCCGATGACGGGGTTGCTGTGGATCGTCAGCTGCTGCGTGTCGAGGTACGCGCGGCGCGCAAGCGTCGCGGCGTCCACGTCCGATTCCGCGTCTTGCGGGTCGTCGAGCTGCATTGCGTCAGGGTCGGCGTGCGCGGGTGGTGGCGGGGGCGGCTCTGGGTGCGGCGTAAAGGGCTTCGGTCGCTGGATGCACCGGTCCGTGCCGGGCAGGACCATGGTGAACTGCTCCTCGAGCTTCTCGTCCTTGGTGACGGAGAAGAGAAAGAGGCGGCCGGTGGCGTCGCCAATGGCGAGCTTGCTGTAGTCGGGCGAGAAGCTGCCGCAGGAGATGGGGCCGGGGGCGCACAGCAGGTCGCGCACAAACGGCTTGTGCCTGTTGCGAATGTTCCACACCTTGACGACGCCGTCGCTGGCGCCCGTGTACAGCCTGGTGAGGTCGCTGCCCCAGGCGGTGAACTTGACGCCCGTGTCCTCGCGCTCCCTGTCCTCGGGCCGCACCTCCTCGAGCGGGCTGCCGTGCTCGAGGACGTGGATGGGCTTGTCGCCCTGCGCCATGTCCCACACGTACACCTTGCCGTCGGTGCAGGCGGCGGTGATGTAGGAGCTCTGCATCGAGTTGGGCATAATGGTGAGCTCGTTGATGTCCGACGCGAAGCAGTCGAGCTTCTGCAGCTCGGCGTACGCGCCGTCGGGATGTTGCGCCCAGTCCTGCCCAAAGACGTGCAGCTGGGTGCGCACGCCGTGGTCGACGTGGAGGCCGACCGGCGACGTGCCGACCACGAAGCCGCAGACGGTGGGATGCCATGCCACTTCAAAGACGTTGGCCGTCGTTGCCGTCATGACGGGCACCTGGCGGCGCTCTTGCGCATCCCACAGCATGATCCCACCAGTCTGCAGCTTGTCTTCGGGAATGTCCTGCTCGTCGCCGCTGAAGCTGCGGGGCGAGTAGCCGACGACGAGGAGGTGTCGCGTGCCGCGCGCCCGGCCCCATTGAACCGTTGCTGGACAGTACGCCCATTTATCCGAGTCATCAGCATCAGAGCGGGGGCAAGATATGGTATAGTAAGGGCTCTCGGCAATGTTGTCGGGATCCATGGTGTAAATGCGGACGGCTTCGGTTGTCGTGTCAGAAGCTACGGCGACGCGCCCCGAGCCATCGTTGGCCACTGCGACAAAATTGACATTGCCATTCTGTTTAAATGTCGCACGGGCTTCCATAGAGCCACCATCCTCGTCCACCTTCCATGCCTTGATCGTCTTGTCAAAACTCGAGGTATACGCAAGACCATGTATCTTATCATAGTCTGACGACACCACCGACGAGTAGATCCACGGATCTTGGCTTCGCCGCATCGCGAGCGACGAATTTTCGCCTTTGGCAACAAGCGGTCGCGGAATTCTATGGTCGGGAAAAGCACGCAAAACACCCTTTGATATCGAGCAGAGTAGCAGATTGCCCGGCTTGTTGTACTGCTGGTTGTGCGCGTCCGAGTGCGCTGTCGTGCCGCAGAGAATGTTCTGGTGTGGGACCCAAGTCATGGTTGAAATGTCTCCAGCGCAGTTGGTGAACTCGGCAGCCAAGCTCATGGCATCCTCGCGTGTTTGCTTGAACGTCGACTGAAAGTTCACGTAGCGCCTCGTTCGGCCCATACCAGCATGGCCCTCGAGCTCTCGGGCAAAGAGGAGGGATGATACCGTTACTTCCCGCTGATGCTCTACGCGCTGCGGCGTCTGTTTATACAGAGACAAGATCTTTGCGCTCCCGGCGTCGGCAGCCTTTTCAGCCAATAAATCGGAGCAAAAGTTCCGGATATCGTGCTCGGCACGGCCAGGCAGCTTTCCGTTCAGGTACGACGGTATCGGATATTCTACACACAGCTGTTGCAGCGCAGCGGACGTGCGGGGAATGGCACCCGGGAAAAAGGGTTTGAGTTCGTCCACGATTTTTGCAATCTCGGCGGCCGAGAAATCCACATGGTAGATGGCCGGTCCATTGCGCAGGGACTTGGTCTTTGCAAACGCCAGCCGGCTTCCTTTTCGGATAGCCTCGCGGTCCGACGAGGAGAGATATGGCCGGGCCCGTAACCTTGTCCATTGGGGCGTCGCCCGCGACGACGTCTCCCTTTTGATGCGTGGCTTGTACGACTTGCACAAAGCTCGGTTGAGCCGATTCGGCAAGAGTGCAGGCGCAGCAACAGTGAGGGCAGGAAGTACATGGCGCACAATTGTTGTAGGTACAGCGGGGGCCCTGGTAACTGCAGTGGCTATAGAGCCTTTCGACATCTTGGATGTCGTAGGGGTGACCATAGCTTGCGGGACAGCATCCATGACAGGCAACGTCAGCTGCTCTTCTTTAATAACCACTGGCACATCAACAGGAGATTTCTTCCCGCGCTGGTATTTCTGCTCAAACTGTTAGAAACCCTTGTTTTGGGAATTAACCAAGACGGATGATCCTTACAGGGGATAAGCAGAGCTGGCGAACCAAGTCTACAGCTCGCTGCGCCAACAGTGTGTCGCCAGTCGGGGTCAGAGCAGAACGAATCAGCATGTCCTTAGCCATAATCGAGGCCGTCTTGGATAGAGTCAGTTGAAGAACTACAATAGAAAAAACAAAGGGTTATAAAGGGTCATGACACATACTTCGACTGCAATGCCATCGCGATCAAACTCGTGTGACAAGGGCTGGATAGCGCGTATAATATGCGGCAGCAGCGTTGTGCGCACCTTTTCTCGCAAGGCGTCCCTACGGGCTTGCGAGCTTGCCGTGGCCGGACTGCTGCTACTGCTCGCCTGAAACGAGGTCCGCAGCTTCTTGGTTGCTGGTTCCTCCGTCGACTCTAGCCTGAACTCGCGCTTCTCGCTGCCGCCATAGCCGTGGCCGCTGCTGCTACCATGGCCATGGCCAGGAGCCGCTCCTCCGGCGTCCTGTGCTCCCATCAAACTGAGCATGCCTCTGCCGATATGGCTATTCCCCAATAGCAGGCCTGGGCCTCCAGAGCTCGCGTTTATAGGGGCGCTAGATCAACGAGGTCAGGTGCGCGTCAAGTCTGGTGCGACCTGCATCCGAACGTCGTAAAGGGGGCAACTAATGCCCCACGAAACAATCCCAAGTGAGTAACACGCTAAATAGGAGCTCCAATCGCGTGTTCTTAATACTTAAGACGCGTCTTGTTCGTCGTTGGTGATGATCGTATGCTCCTTAAGGAGGTGCGGGGTGCAAGTAAAGCGAAAACTAGAGAGATAAGCTTAGTCAGCTAGAGTGAGTCCAGGGTAACCTCGAGCTAGAGCTAGAGCCCCACTTTTAAGCTTGATATCTTTATAAAAGTTATAAGGCAGTATAAAGGAAGAATATTTCTTAAAGATACTATTCCCTTTAGAAAGTAGATAGTAGCTAGAAGTTTTATTAGCTTATATACAGAATTATACTTAGTTAGTAGTGTTACGTGCTTTATAACTACTCCTAAATAGCTTAGAAATCTTAATTCCATGGAATCGCGATAAATCGAAAAAGATTGCGGATAGGGTTTAAATTTCCAGAAGCGCATTTTTATGCGTAATTGAAAGCGTTCCAATTGAAAAGGAGCAAATGCGCAAAAATTAGCGAATGCGCTGGTGCGTGTTTGCGCAATTGCGCGCAGACATCCGATGCAGCTTCAAATGGCATACAAACGGGCGGCCTAAAGGGTAAACAAACAACTACAGCTAAGAATTCACGGTGGGGTTTAGGGTGATAAAATCGAGTTAATACCGTGTTAGAGGCTTTAAAATCGGTATTAAGGGTTATAGCGCACTATAGCCTCTATTCGAGCAATTGACCGCTATAAGTGGCAGTGGCGGCTTTTTAGGGAATACTATAGAGAGACTACACGTTTGCCTGTCTCTTTTTTCTTAGAAAACTAATTAGTTATAGGAAACCTTGGGAGTATTTTATTGATTTATTAGGTGGGTTTATTAAAGTCTAAGCAATAAGGCAAGCCTCTGTATTGATCTACATAGTTGGACCACCCTACTAAGCTTTGTCAAATCACCAGAATAAAATCCGTATATCACATAACTTTGTCCAAATCATATCAAAAGTATAGCCTACATAGCCACAGTATCTACCATAAAAAGCCCCCAAACTGTTTGCGCATTCTCCGCTCCGCTCCCGACGTCTTGTCCCCGCCATTCACCTTGGCCTTGGGGCCGTTGCTGCTGGCGCCCGTGACGACAAAGAGCTCGCCCGAGCTGTCGCTCGTCATAAAGGTACGCCCCTTGTCATCGAGCCAGAGGCCGGTCGGGCGGAAGCACGACCCAGGACAGGCCGCATTGTCCGCATTCCACAGCAGCTTCTCCTCGGCGTCGTCGCTGTCCGCCTTGGCGACGGGCTGACCGTCGGCAAAGCTCACGCGGCTGAGTCTGTATCCATTGGGCGGTTGGCGGTTCCTACCAGTTGCTGTCAGTACATATTTTAAAAAGAAATATGTATAAAAGACTTACCAGCTTCCGTGAAACGAAATAAGCGCGGCGCTGCCGTCGCTGAGGAATTTGATATCAAGAGGCGCGAGGTGAGAGCCAAAGGTGAGACGCGGCGCGGTCGCATTGGCGCGGCACCAGTCGTCGGTGTAGCCGGAGATGTGGTCGCCCGTCATCTGCAGACCGACCTTGGGCCCGCCCTGTGCGGTAAAGTCCCTGACGATGCTGGGGTCGTAGATGGCGACGCAGCCGGGGTAGCCGTAGTTGCGGCCGTACTGCGCGCTGGCTGTGTCGTTGGGCAGGCCGTGAAAGTTGAGCTCCTCGCCTGGGTTGGAGTTGTGAATGTCGTCGCCCTTGCGCTTCATGTTGTCGAGGGAGTTTTCGACCGTCCACTTTTCATTGGGTCAGCCATCCATCCATCCGCAAAAAAAAAAAAACACGTACAATGTGCCCGTTTGTCGGGTCGTCCGCGACACCCACACTATTCCGCAGACCCCATCCCAGCACCTCGCCCGCCGTGTAGTCGACAGCCTCGGCGCCGTCCTTGACCAGGTCGGCGATTTTGAAGCTGCGCAGCTGGCTGCGCCCCGACGCGATGTCGGCCGTTTCCTTGTCCACGTTGTCGTTGGAGCCGCGCGACACGAGCAGCAGATCCGGGTTATGGCGCGGCACGAGCAGCGTGCGCGAGACGTGGTCCGTCTGCGCCATGCCCTGGATGATGTGCCGGGCGGTGCCGACAGTACCTTTGCCGGCGTCGTACGGGTACGCGTACGTGTCCGTCTCGGACGAGACGAAGAGCGTCTTGCCGTCCCCGGAGAGGGCGATGCCGTGGTTGAGCTGCGATGACGTCAGTTTCTGCCTCCCTCTCTCTTTCGACCCCAAACAAAATCAACAAAAGGCAACGTACCGTGTCATCATCAATCAGCTGCGCGCTAGACGACACGCAGACGTCGAGACCCGCGGCGTCGTCGAGCACCACGCGCGTCACGCCCTTGCCCTGGGCCTCGACGACGAGCAGGTTGCCCTCGGCATCCATGACGACCCCGCGCGGCCGGGCCAGCCCGTTTTGCAGCACTTTAAAGGCAACGCCGTCGGCCGACTGCGGGTTCGAGGCCGGCGCTGGGCCGGGACAGGCAGAGGCGGCGGCGGCCGTCTGCGCGAGGGCGGCCAGGGCGACGACGAGGTTCTGTAATAACGTCATCGCAAGCCGATTCTCTTTGAAGCTTGGAGGGTGCTAAAGTCGGTGTATGACAGAGTGGAAGAGAGGAACAAAGAAGAGGGGGAGCGGACGTCCTTTAAAAAATCGCCAAGGCCTGGGTTTAACACTAAACTTCATTCCTGCTGTTTGACACACCAACGGCCCCTTATCCGTCCGTCCATCCGTCGCTTCCATCATGCCCTCGTCGTACCTACCTATTCCGTACAGGGCCGCTATTGAGGGTGGTGGCGTCTTGCTCCGGAGCCAAGACGCTGGGGTAGCGGTACCAGTGGGTGGCGGGGACACGGGCGAGCAAGGTTCCGGAGGAAGTGCGAGTCTGCGACACGGAAAGATCAAGTCTCATATATTTTGATATTTTAGGCTCCCGCCAGATTCGCCTTCGGTATGGAGTAGGGTAGCAGAGGCATAAGCCCGCATGGTGCTAGCAGCACCATGACGGAAGCAAGCTTGGGAGCCAAGCAATGCATGGCCCACGATGTATAGTCACCATATAGCAAGTCGCTCCATGATTTCCAATGTCAAGGGGCTCTGTAATGGCATGCACAGCAACAAGTCGGCTTGTGTTAAGCTTAATGCTCGCTCCACCGGCGATTGGGGGCGCAGTCGTTTAGCACAAGACCCGTTTTACACAGAAGCTGGCGACGGCCTGGAATGAAGTACCTAGAGAGGTTGCATCACGTTGCTTTAAACTGCCAAGTGCTGGGCTGTTCTCACTTTATGCTGCCGGGGAAGTTTTCAACAGTCTACATGGATTGATGAGTGTTTACCCCTCTCTGCAAGAATGTAGCAAACAGCGCAACTATAACGAGTGCCCGTTTGTCGGGTTATCCACGACACCCACGCTATTCCGCAAACCCTATGGCAGAATTCGTTACAGGATAGTTGGCAGCATCTGGAGGCGCCATACCGTTCGAGTGCATGACCGTAGTTCCGTGCCACGATTGCATATGGGATGGATCATCAAGCACCGGAATGAGCCCACGTCAACTCGTCATCTTTTCCCAAACGTGGGATGGCCGCCGGCCGTGTTTCCAGTCGATCCATACTCGAAATACTCCCCGAAAACACACGTCTAGATTAGCTTCGGGGGGCTGTGCGCTAGTGCCATAACCTGCTGAACCCCCGCAATATCAATAACCAAGTCATCAAAATGGTATTGTAGTATCAAACTTGTAGAGCCCTTCTAGTTATCACAGAACATATAAAACTTCCCCACCCATCTAGATATTCGCTAAGCATACAATGAATGACCGAGCCGCCAATCGAGACTGTGCGACAGGCATCCTCTCTATCCCCTCGCATCTTTTTTTCCCTTCCCGTCGTGCCATCATATTTACAGCTTGAACTTGCTCGGCTCCTCCGTGGCCTTGACCTCCTCATACATGCGGTCGATGTCAGCGCGGAAAGCCTTGCCGGCTTGCGGGCGCTTGAGCTTGAGCCTGCAGCATTCCATGTTAGTACAGTGAGTAGCGATGTCGCGAACAATGTTGCAACTTACGTAGGAGTCAACAGGCCATTGTCGGGGGTGAACGGGTCGATGACGAGGTGGACATTGCGCACACGCTCCCAGTTATTGAACTTGTGGCTGCGGCCAATCTTGTCCAGGACCTTGAGCACAGCGGCCTTGACCTTGGGCTCGTTGGCAGCAGCCTTGATCGCGGCAGTGTCGCCGACAGCAACGGCTCGTCCGAGCGCCTTGCTGGCAAAGGGGGGGAAGTTCTCCGGGTCAATGCCAAAGATGGCAACGAGGCTGGATTCCTTCGAGTCACCGTGCACATACGCCGTGGCAAGAATGTTGGTGTTGCCGAGGTAGACGTTCTCGATGCGCTCGGGAGAAATGTACTCGCCCTGGGCCAGCTTGAGGACGTTCTTCTTGCGGTCAATGATGCGGAGACGGCCGAGGCTATCAATCTCGCCAATGTCACCAGAGTGGAACCAACCGTCCGCCTCGAGCACCTTTTGGTTCTCTTCGTCGTTCTTGTGGTATCCCTGGAACAAGGTGGGCCCGCGCATGAGCACCTCGCCGCGGGGGTTGGGCTTATCGTCAACACTGTAGTTGTAGTCGGGAACAGACTCGAGGCAGAGCTCGATGCAAGGGAGGGGAGGTCCCAGGTTACCCGCCGAGTAATCACGGGCGAGCTGGACGGTAGCACCGGCATACGTCTCCGTCATGCCGTATCCCTGGCGAAACTCGTTGCCGAAAGCAGCACCGAGGAACTCTTGCACGTCGGGGTCGAGCTGCGCGCTGCCACTAATCATGGAGCGGGCATTGTCCAGACCGACAGCGGCGCGCACCTTCTTAGTCCATAGTCTGTCGTAGAAGAAGTGCGTGTTGGTGGTGCTTCCGGGCGGCTGGCGCATGTAGCCCTTCTTCACATCGATGACGTGTCGGGAGAGAGCACCCTTGAAGCCGGGCGCCTCCACCGTGGCCGCCTTGATGGCCGAGTTGAAGCGGTTGAAGAGACGCGGAACAGAGGGGAACGACGTGGGCTTCAGAAGCTTCAAGTCGTCTACGAGTCCGAGAACGTCACCACGGAAGAAGCCAACGGCCGCACCGGACACGAGGGCCAGCTGGTCAATCATGCGGCCGTAGATGTGGGCGAGCGGCAGATACGACATGTGGATGTCGTTGGCCTGGACGTTACCCATGGAGCGAGCACCGTTGATGGCCGCGACAGCATTTCCTTGCTTCATCACGACGCCCTTGGGGGGCCCGGTGGTGCCGGACGTATAGTTGATCGTGGTAAGGTCGTCCCAGGTGGGGGGGCGGAAGCCGCGACCGGTCTTGAGACCAATCTCCTCGAGCTGCTGGATCTCGTAGAGCTTGAGGCCGCTTTGAGCGGCAATTTCGCGCAGGATGTTGCCAGGGTTCTTGTCCTTGTGCTCGCCCTTGTCCAGAGGGTCCAGGGAGATGATGACCTTGAGGGTCGGCACGCGCGACGCAAGCTTGAGGAGGACCGGGATGTGGCTCGCCGTGCATGCAACGACGGGCAGTTCGGCGTGATTGATGATATATTCGGTGGTGTCGGGGCCGAGCGTCTCGTAGAGCGATACACTAAACAGGCTCTGCGAGGTACAGGCCATGTCTGCGCGAGGTATTAGGATGCTGCGGCGTCATCGTAGGGGATGTGGGCGAATACATACCGACCAGGTGCCACTCCGGGGTATTGGGGGACCAGATACCAACACCGTATTTGCTGTTGGTGTAGCCGGCCTGCTGCACGACGTCGACGATGCCAGCACCGAGGTTTTTGCGGCGCTCGCCCATCTCCGCATATGTCATCCATTCGAACTTGTTCTCGTGCGCCTGCGTGGCGGGGTTCCACTTGCGCACACCCAGCGCCTTGCGGGGGCCGTATTTCTGGATGGCGAGCTCGAGGAGGTCGTGGACGGACTCGACCTCGGGCTCCAGCTTGGTCAGGAGCGGCTGGTCGCGGAAGCGCCAGTGGCGGAAGACGGGCGTGCGGTTGGCACGCTCGGAGCCGGGGATCGGGACAGCATGAGGGGCGCCGACCGGCGGCGGCGCGCTGATATCGGCAATGATTTGCTCGGCGGTCTGAGGAGCCATGGCTGCGATGGTGTCGTGTCGTGGTCGGGGAATCTAATACAAGTGAAGAAGAGGTCGGATTAGCCATGCGCGGGTCTTCATTCGAGGCGGCGAGAAATGCCCAGCAAGCCGAGGCGTTTGCGGGCGCGCGCGGCGAACCAAGAGCAAACGTACGTGGAGGTGGGAAAAAAAAGGGAACGCGAGCTTTCTTTCGTCGATCCAGACGTTACACGCGGCGGTCTTGTTGAACTCGAAAAGGATGACAAACTCGCACGTCGTCTTTGGACAACTTGGGGAATAGAAACAGAGAGGAAGAAAGAAGGGGCCGGCGATTGGCTCTTTTGGCATAGACGCAAGCCAGGTGGTTGACACCGAAAATGGTCATGAAGTCCGGGGCACTACCCACACTAGCACTGGCCGAGGTTATGGGGATGTTTATGGGGGTGCCTCGGCAGCAGCAGCACCACGCAATGGGGCCGCTACCTGTGGTAATGTCAGCGGCGAAACGAGGCGTTGCTGCAGATGCCACGACATGGTAGTATTGAATCGCAGGACGGAGTAATAAATGGGCTTTCCTGGGCGCGCAGTTGTGGTGCGGACTGGAGAGGAGCGGCAGACGAGAGGGCGGAGGTGAGAGCTGTGCCGCCTGCCACTCATCAGCCCCCCCCGGTGGCTCGCTCGCAGTAGTTTCGGATCATCGTCTGGTGCTGGCAACTTCGATGTCGAACTCGTGCATACCCGCCCACATGTCTCTCGGTCGCGCTACTCTGGGGGCCAGCATGTTGGGCTCGGTGGCTGATGAGGCCGCCCCGGACCAAATGCGCGGCCCGAAAGTCCGTCGTTTTCATCCGTACCTCTTTTGCGAAGTTGGTTTTCGAAGCTATTCCTTTCCCCACGCGTTATCATCGAGGGGGGGTGAGGGGAAGAAGCTCACAGCTGGCTAACTAGATTGGCGCGTCCACGTCGGCGGCTCTCAGCCGAGACACCAGTAGTCAAGATTCGGATCGTAGACTTTCCCCGACGGATGTGACGGACTGTGTAATGCTGGTGCAGGTTCTGATGCTGAATTGGCGGCTAACAATGCAGGTCGCAGAATTTTCACGTTTGTTTTGCCTCAACAATTTCTTGTCAAACAGAGTCTGCCAGCTGCCAAGAAAACCTCGCGGTATGAAGTTCAGCCTCGCTCTTCACATGCACTTCCAGATCAACCGTAGGTACAATTACGTGATACAGTACCACCAGAATTATTCATGCACAGTCAATAAAGGCATGAATGATCAGCATAAATCCACAACAAGCCAAATACTCCCTTAAAAACACATCGCATCGCAGGATATTATTAGTGAACAGCCAGAAGCACGCCATGTACGCAACTGGAAATCTGCACTTACCCTAGAAGTCATTCCCACATGACAATCGGTGGCTCAGCTTCGCTTAGTTTCTAGGCTCCAATAAGGCAGAGAAATCTCAACGTTCCACAAGGACAACCAGCGTGATTGGTTTAGTGGTAAAATTCTCCGTTGCCATCCGCAACGTCGGGGAGCCCTGGGTTCGATTCCCAGATCACGCATTCTTTTTGGGTGAAGTTTGGCCTTGATCTTTTTGTCGACCCAATGACCTACACTGAGAATGCTGCCCGGCACTTGCTATCTTTTTCGTCTCCAAAACCAACCGTCAGGATACCAGCGATTGAATGACTTTCATATTCCCCACTGCATATCGATTTGAAGTTTCTTGCCCCTCATAACTCTGCATGCCTGGACAGCCCCCTCCGTCTCACACGCGTGAGACTTTGCTCACCCACCACCGCTCAAAGGGCCGACTGCAGAATCTTTTGATTCAAAGCATGAAAACATTTAAGTACTCAAAATACTCAATAACAGGACTCCTTCAATCTCTCGTCATATTGCTGCGTAGATTCCATCTCGTGCATGCTCGCTGTGGCCCTCATTGTGTAAGAACAGTCGATCCACATACCAGACGACTTGCAGTGTCAACAAGGAGCGAAATCGCGAATCAATGATCCGGAAAACCACGAGGAGAAAAAACAAAGGACCCTCTACTACAAAGGGAGCCTCCATCTTGACCCTACGCTACTCCTACTTTTGCTCCCTCGCCTGCTCTGCTCTCGTTCGTCAAACCATCATGGGTCGCCACAGCGTCATCTTCCTCCGCGTTCTGCAGGGCCTGTTGGCCGTGGTCAATCTAACATTAGCCGCGTACGGTACGTGCTTTGCCCTTTTCCCACCAAAAACACGAACCCATGCAAAAAAATGTCACCGCAGCTGTTCCTGACGAAACGGGCGCAGTCTACCACTGGTACGCCAGCGTCGCGCACCAGGCGAGCCCCGGGGCGCTGCAGTTCCTCGTTTTCGCGCCGTGCGTGTCGCTCGCGTCGATTGCGTACCTGGAGGTCGCCGTGCGGCAGCGGCGCATGATCATGGCGCACCGGCTGACGTCGATGGGCGTCGAGGGGCTCAACGCGATCCTGTACCTGGGCGGCTTCGTCGCGTTTGCGCTGACGCTGAGCGACGCGTCGGCCACGGCGTGCGCCGGCCGCAGCAGCTGCACGCTCAGCCGGGCCGTCGCCGTGCTCGCCGCCGCCGAGTTTAGCGCCTGGATCGCGTCGGCGTTTGTCGCCGCGCAGGAGTGGTTCCGCACCGAGGCGCACATGAACAAGATTACGGCCGCGCGCCGTCAAATGGCCGAAGCGAATGCGCGATTGTAGAAATGGGTGGTAAGAGGTCCAGGGACAAGGTGGCGGGCGGCTTGGATTGGCGCGCTTATGGTCGGGTCCTGCTGACGATGGGATTCATCCGGTTTTTCGTGTATATATTTACCAGCCAAAGCAACGCAGCGTGGAATAGCCATCGTGCATATGCATATCGGTGGTTTATTAAGGTATCTAATATTCATCTATCTGGCCTTGATCTGGTAGCCTTGTGCTGCGTGCAGATTGCATACAAGTACTTGAGATTGATATTTCGACCTCTATAGCTGATATTCATGGCCGTTTTGGGATCGAAGCTTGTAAGCATAAAAGACTGAAGCTTGTTTGACCAAGGTCATCGGAAGCTGGCGCGCCACACTGTTAACTACCTAGTGACAACACCCCCCACCTTCGTCAACGCGCGCCTGGCCGACCATTGATGGCATCATTTCCGCCAAGTCAGTGAAGTCGTTGTGTTGTAGTTATGGATACCCGGTACACCAAACATCCTTAGGAGGCAATCACTGTCTACGGTCTCTTCCCCGTGCCTTGGGTCATCGTATCCTTTCCGCCCATCGCAATGCAACTGCAGCCGGTCTCGGGTCAAGGGCTTCCGCTCCTCTCGCCAGCTTTGCCGGTGAGCAAGATCCAATTGCGCATCTGCAGCTGCTCTCCCAACTAGGAAATGACGCGACCTGGGCATCCGGTTACGCAGGCGGCCACTGTGGCGATGGCGTGCTTTTTGGTGTCAAGGACCGGCCGCCGGACTCCACCCCGGACCCTTTCTGCAAGCCTCGATGCAGCTTCGAGGCGCTGCGCCGTGTGATGGAAGGCCCAAAGGTGGGCGAAAATCGGGGAGGGGTAGTAACAAACTGGGGGGGATTTGCAATTGAGGGTGCCAGATGAGGGGTAGTAACGGACGGGCAAAGGTTGCATCCTTTTTTACTTATAACGCTGTGCACCACCCGTTTTTGTGCTGCCGCATCTTCCTTCTTCTTTCCCGTATACCCGTGGTAGCACCAAGTTTGGCATAGATTGCTAGCTATAAATACTCTGGGATAACGATTTACCACCCGGTTCCTCAAGCAACTTCGAGTACGTGTGACATCACGCATCATGGCCGACCAAATCAGCAAAAACTTTGAGACACTTCAGCTCCATGCTGGGTATGTGCATTTTTACCCTTGGACAGGAAAATCTTGGGGGCAACTATCTGGTTCACTAGCTTACATCAATTCAAACAGCCAGGAGCCTGATCCGACCACCAAGTCGCGCGCCGTGCCCATTTACGCCACAACTGTGAGAATCGCGGGGTAGATCTTGCCGCGGAGGGCCACCATTGACGCAGATTATAGAGCTTCACATTCAATGATTCGGCCCATGGCGCGAGGCTCTTTGGCCTCAAGGAGCCTGGCAACATTTACTCGCGCATCATGAACGTACGTCAACTACCGCCCCCCAGCAAAAAGGAAGAGCATCGCGAGGGGCAAAGACTTTGCTGACAATTTTGCACAGCCTACCGTCGACGTGTTCGAGAAGCGCATCGCTGCCCTGGAAGGCGGCGTCGCCGGTCTCGCCGCCTCGTCCGGCCAGAGCGCGCAGTTCATCACCATCAACACGCTGGCCCACGCCGGCGACAACATCATCTCCACGTCGAACCTCTACGGCGGCACCTACAACCAGTTCAAGGTGTTTTTGCCGCGCCTCGGCATCACGACCAAGTTTGTCAACGGCGACAGCCCGGACGAGATTGCCGCCCTGATTGACGACAAGACCAAGGCCGTCTACGTCGAGAGCATCGGCAACCCGCGCTACAACGTGCCGGACCTCGAGGCGATTGCCAAGGTGGCGCACGCCAAGGGCGTCCCTCTTGTTGTGAGTTTTTTTTCTGTTTTTTTTTCTTCTCTTTTACAAACACGACCCGGACTTTGCTGGCAAAGCATGGCTAATCTTGGGTGTTGCCACAAGGTTGACAACACGTTCGGCGCCGGCGGCTACTTCGTCCGGCCCATCGACCACGGCGCCGACATTGTGGTGCACTCGGCGACCAAGTGGATCGGCGGTCACGGCACGACGGTGGGCGGCGTCATTGTCGACAGCGGCAAGTTTGACTGGGGCGCCAACGCGGCGCGGTTCCCGCAGTTTGTCGAGCCGTCCGAGGGCTACCACGGGCTCAAGTTCTGGGAGACGTTTGGGCCCGTGTCGTTTATCGTGCGGGCGCGCGTCGAGATTGTGCGCGACCTGGGCGCGTACATGAACCCCTTTGCCGCCCAGCAGCTGCTGCTCGGCACCGAGACGCTGTCGCTGCGCGCCGAGCGCCACGCCCAAAACGCCCTCGCCCTCGCCCGCTACCTCGAGGCCAGCCCCAAGGTCAGCTGGGTCTCGTACCCGGGCCTGCCCAGCCACGCCTCGCACGAGACGGCCAAGCGCTACCTCAAGCGCGGCTTCGGCGGCGTCTTGAGCTTCGGCGTCAAGGGCGGCGTCGCCGAGGGCGCCAAGGTCGTCGACAACTTTAAGCTCATCTCCAACCTGGCCAACGTGGGCGACGCCAAGACCCTGGCGATTCAGTATGTTGTTTTTTTCTTTTTGGCTCGGAGGAGGTTGTCGTGGAAAGGATAAAAGTTGCTGACAATTGAATAGCCCGTGGTCGACCACTCATGAACAGCTCTCTGACGAGGCCAAGGCCAACTCTGGCGTCACCGAGGTGAGTGCAGTGGCATAGTCGTGAGAAGAAGGAACAAACCGCTGACTGACTTGATATAGGATCTTATTCGTATCTCGGTGGGCATCGAGCACATTGATGACATCATTGCAGACTTTGAACAGTCCTTCACCGCTGCTGGTATCTAGGGAAACCAGCGAGGGTTGAAAGCAAGAAAGGCGAGAATCTGCGACCGGGCCAGCTATAAGGCCAGATTATGATAGCAGTTAGCATTATTAATTTCACTCACACTTTTGGACTCGAGTTGCTTTGTTTGATAACGACACCAGATGGCTGCCTAGAGCGAGCTGCCGCTACCCGAGAAGGCTGCCCTCACATGACCATGTTGCCTGCGTTGTCTGCTGCAGCCCTATGTCGGCTGGCCGCACAGGGACAGGGGAAAGGCTTCCAACAATGGAGAAACAAATCAAAAAAATAGCACACGGTCCATTGTCCTGACTGATATACAATCAAACTGGGCACCAGGGAGTGGGACGCAGTGGTCCTGACACCTTGAGGAGCAAACGTTGGGGCTCTAATATTGAATACGAGCAGACGATCAGACGATCAGACGTACATGACCTCATTTATTATCTGTGAGCACTGCACTTTTGCATATCATAGTTATGCACTTGTGGACTGATGAAATTAGCCATGTGCTCAAGGGGCAGCGCCCCATGCGGATCAATCGGAAACTGGCAGCGGTCGTCATCACATGGCTGTTTCCGGTCGCAAGTTTTCGCCAATCTCGGCATTGCTGACGATGAATTTATCGTGGGAAAAGTACGTACCCCTCCTGCCCCTTGTTTCTGTTCCAAGCACTTGTTCACTGCGCGATTTGATCAACGAGCGTGTTGGCAGCTTAGAAGAAACGAAACAACAAGAGCAACGTACACGCAAACGCAAACGCAACGACCCAACCAAAGCTGGAAACGCCAGATTGCAGACGCAACTTTTAGTTACAAGCTGTTGTGCGCCTTGGCAGCCTGGCATGAACAAACAATGAGCGCCGCTTTGTTCGTGAAATGCCGCATGGCATGCAGGGATGACGGGGGAGACCCCCCCTCCGGGTTGTGGAGAAGAAGTTGTCTGACCGCGTGCGTTGGCTGATGCTGAAGAAGGGATGCAGAAGCTCGAGTTGCACCATCGACAAGTGACCGCGAAGGAAAAAAAAGAAAAGAAAATTGACATGCCCATTGATCCATGGGGGTCCGTAGTTACAACAACAGCTTGGCAACAACCCGTCGTCGGTGTGGATACGAGCGATGTGACGACAGCAAGACACTTTGTGATTGTTCCAATTTGCAAAAGGAAGAATGAGCTCCGGAGGGGGGAGATGTGGTGTTGCGAGCTCGGAAAGAAATCCAGCTTGCATGAACTGCTGCCTTGCCTTGTTGACCAAACTCTTCCCCCTCAAAGACGTAAATAAGTGCCTGCAGTGTTGAATCTAAAAACCTCCGGAACGCCCGTCTCCAGGTTACACAGCAGAGGCCACACAGAGCGAGTCGCCCACGGCATCTTTTTTTTTCTATTTTCTTTTTAATAATAAGTCTTCCCGCCCACGGCAAAGGCCCATAGTGGCACATGGAACCCGTCGACGGAGCGGGATGAACAAAGAGCGACGCAAAGGCAGAAAAAAAAGAGATGCTTTCGTTGTCACGAAAATGTAAAATGAGATTTTCGCCCAAATGCCCCGCTAGCACTGCTACCACTGAAACCGAGGGGTGCCAACACCGAAGCGGAACAATATGTGGTCGGCTGCTTGCCCTGCCCGGCGGTCTGATCGCCGGTGATCCCCTTTGCAAGCATGATGCTTGACGAAGAGCTCGCATGAATCATCCCAGCAGGCTGCCCGGGATCTTTTCAGCTCTTGTCTGCTTGTCGGTTGGTCTGATTTTTCTCAGTATCCCATAACTACAAGCCAGATATTCTCTCCTCAGGTGTTAGGTGGCAATTGCGTCCAACAACAACCCCCCACCAAGCGAAGCCGTTGAGCAAACAATCCAAGAAGAGGGGGGCAAAAGAGCAAGGGCCTTTGCGCGCGTAATCGGCATCTTCTGCTTGTTCTTGTTGCCCGAATATAGTTTGACTAGTTAGTGCCCACCAAAACCTGGGCACACCCGAGTCCCCCCTTCCCATCCAACAGGACACACGGGAGACGCGCGCACCTTTGTTTGCGCCATGATGGCTAGCTGGGTTCGCTAGACGCAAATAGAAACAGAAAAACTCCATTGGCGTAAAAAAAGAAGCAGAGAATTAAAAAAGAACAACCACTGCAGACGCACAACAACAAGTGTTAGAGTGTTTTGCGTAAATGATGTTGTGATTATACATACGCAAATGCTCTTCTCTTCTTCGGGGAAATAACATACATATTGAACCAGGGGGGGGCCCTGGTTGCAGATTGATGTAGCATCTGTGCTGGCTTGTGTGATTGTGATATGCGACCGCTTAATCGGGCAAATCACCAACCTCGGCTCCAACAACACATCTGTCTCTCTCTGTCTCTCTCTCTCTGCGCCAAGCTCCATCCATTCGTTATGGAGCTTGCCACCCGTCATGGAAAGGTTCCGTTTTCCCCTCCCAGGCTAGTTATGCAAGAAAACCAACTTTGTCGCCTCTTTTTGCTATTCGTGTACCCGTTTTCCCTGGCGCCTCCTTCCCGCTACTCTCTGTTACTCTGCTGCCTGTTGCTCTGTTGTTGCTCTTCAGCCTCGTCGCCTCCCGCCTTGATTTGTATGGTCCTTTTTTTTGTCTTGCTTGATTTATTGTCCTTTTCCGTGTCACCATCCAATCCTGTCAAGCCCGTTCGGGTACCACCCTGTCACGTTTCGTCTCCTCTTGCTCTTTTCCGATCCGTCTCGTCTCTCTCTTTTCTCTAGCCCTTCTCTCTCACTCCCCTCTCTCTCACTCTCTCTCTCACTCTCCCAACCAACCAACAACAGACGAAAAGAAGAGACAAGAGGGCTTTCTCGAGACATGGAATGCCATATATGAATTCGACCAAGGCACCACCACCCCGCAGCACAGCAACATAACACCATGCTCGACCTGCCCTCGCTCTACTTTGGCGCCTTTGTCGGCGTCTTCGCCTTTACCCTCGTCGAGATTTGCGCCCAGACGCGGCGCATCGTGCAGCGCGCCCGCGCCTGGGGCTGGGCGAATGGCTACCTCTACATGATTTGGTCCGAGGGCCTCGTCAACCTCGTCCTCGCCGTCATCACCATCCTGCACTTCAACGACCGCATACCCGGCACCCTCGCCTTTTACTTTGGCACCGTCACCATGTGGGCGCTGCAGACGCAGGTCCTCTCGCAAATCATTGCCAACCGCGTCTGCCTCATCATGGTCAGCCGCCAGCGCGCCACATGGATGCGCTGGGGGCTCTTCGCCCTCATCCTCGGCGTCAACGTTGGTGTCTACGTAATATGGATCCCGGCCTACCTGCCCAACGCCGGACCAGCCCGGAAGCGGCTCAATGACATTTTTGAAAAGTTTGAAAAGAGCTTCTTTTTGGTCGTCGATCTCGGCCTCAATGCCTTTTTCCTGTACCTGGTCCGATTCCGCTTAATCGCCGGCGGCCTGCCAAAGTACTGGGCTCTGTTCAAGATGAACCTGGTCCTCATTGTGGTTTCGACAGCCATGGATGCCGCCTTACTAGGGATGCTAAGTCTATCCGACCCTTATGTGTATGTGGCATTGGCGTCCCGTAACATGGCCATTGGCAATGCTGATTCTCCTTACAGATACGTGCAGTTTGCACCACTCGCTTACACTATCAAGCTTTACATTGAACTCGTCATGACCTCCCTCATCGCCAAGGTGGTGAGCAGCGAGGGAGCGCCCGGCCAGGTCGCCAGCATCTCCGGGTACCCGTCCTTCCAGCCGCCGCTGCCCATGGGCCACGCCGACAAGTACGGCAGCACCAAGAGCATCTTTGGCGACAAGAGCATCTTTGAGGGCGCCAGCTTCGCGCCGCCGGCCTCCAAGTTTGACGCGCAGTCGGTCCGCAGCGCCACGCTGTCGTACCACACCGACATTGAGGGCCGCTACGAGGTGGCCGGCGACGAGGGCTACCTCGAGCCGGTGCCCGAGACGAGCATCATCAAGACGGTGACGACGACGGTCGTGTCGGAGGACAAGAACAAGCAGCCGGTCAAGAGCGTCGCCGGCAGCGTCCGCAGCCACAAGAGCCGCCTGCGGGCTGGCGCGTACGACGACTGGATCAACGAGGAACCTGTGCCGCCCATACCGGAGAGGCAAAAGTCCGTCTCGACAACGAGGAGCAAGTCGAGGAGAAAGCGGCACCCGCTGACGTCGAGGTTCAACCAGAGGCAGCGCTAACCTCTGGCGGTTTCGACGAGAATGATATATCCAAAGCTCAATGGGCTTTCCCCTTTATTTAACGCAGTTTCATTGTTTTTTTTTTTTTTTTTGATATTTGGCGGTATTGCTTTGTTGCATTTTCACAAAGTCCTTTCAATACCCATTTCTTTGAGTATGGGGGAGGCGCATTTACTACGTCTGGCGTTGGGTAACCCTGTCTTGCCCTACTTAGATGGCTTGCAGGGAATGACTTGCTGCATCTCTGAATATTCATTATTAATAAACCATAGTATGATAGAATACATAATTGAGCAATCATGATGATGGAAAAAGGGGGGAATTCCCATGCCAGGGGCAGTGTTGACTGATGCACGGTGCTGTGAGAAGTATGGTCTGAGCTCATTCAACAGTGTCTGCGAATCCTTGAACCTGAACAGTGGTGAAATCTGCCGATGTGTCCCTGAAAAACAAAATGGAGGAGGGAGAAACATTCCGAAACTCGCCTCGGGGCTTATTTTTAGCTGGAGCGTATTATTCCCGGTATTAATAGTGGTGGTCTGCGCTAGAGACCCCCTACCCGAGCTATGAGAAAAACTAAGACAACTAACTCCCTTTTCCAGGTCTACTTTCTTGTAAAATCATTGGCAAATTCATGACTTGAAAGTATTTAGCTTGAGTGTACAATTTAATCGTCAATTTTTAGCCCGGCCAGGAACGTACATTTTGGCCTGGCGTGTTTTTACGCGTGAATGATGCACTCCTGTCCTTGCTCCGAGGACGCAGTTGAGGCCGCCAAACTGCCAGCGCGAGGCGGATCAACCATCCTCCAACAAATGCCTAGCATGGAATAACGAGAGATAGTCATCGGCGCGTCCGGGTCATCGCAAGCCGAAGAGGGAAACAGCCGAAGAGAAGTGTCGGTAACTACCCCATGTCTATACGAAGATCAGGGCCACGGACTGGAGGGGAGGGGGGGGGTGGCCCGAACGCGAAGGTGCTGTTTTGATCTTAGCGCGGCCTGATGAATAGACGAAGGCATTCAATCCCGTGCCAATTGCTGCATCGGATTTCGGGATTGGCGGCTGTTGGTAGTAAATGTTGCAGCAGTATCAAAAGTTTGCCGCTGTTTAGAATGCCGTTTCCAGCTCTCTTTGTAGAACAAATACTCAGGGTCTTCATAGTTTTATAGAGCTTGCGCGATGAACAACTGAGCAAGAGCAAGACCCTCGAGAAAGTGACCCATGGTAGCGAGGCCCCTGAGGGTTCCGCCCAGTCTCAAAGCAGCCCGCGGCTGGAGGTGCTTGAGTAATCAGACCGCCGCGTCAGCTATCTGAAAATGGAACGAACACACATAGGATCTGGCTTCTCAAAGCAGCAAAGCTCCATAGAAGCTACTGGCACGGACAAGAACAACTTACCGTGGTTGGCCAGCCAAGACTTCATGGACAGAGGACGCCGCCCCAGCAGGCGGGCTATCATGCAGCCCTAGGGACACGGCGGCGCCAACAGAGCGGCAGGGAAGAAAAGAGCGCTATACCCTACGAAGCTATACGAGCCTGCCTGTCTGCATGATCCACCATGTGGTCAGTAGGGCGCGATCTGGCGCACGATCTCGCATTCTAGGCGAATTTGTCAAAAGAAGTCGGGTGCTCCAACTGCTTCAATGAAACGACCTGAGAAGTAGTTCACTTGTCTAATTGAGAATGAGTCTATAATAGACCACTATCGTATATACTTGCTTATATTCATCTCTGATGACCTGTGCAGTGCACATTCGTAGAGGTATGCTTCACTTGTGACTAGGACATGATATCTGGTAATAATGAGCAAAATCGATGAGTAAATAGGGACAAAAAACCCTTGAAATAGAAGAACGACCAACGTGGCCAGCCGCCGTGGCATCCGTAGCCACCTGCCACCACCCGAAGAACGAGAGCACCACCAAGCATTTGGCTCTGCCTGGATGCTGCGGGCAATTTTACCATTTCTGGGCACATCTGTGGCCATCTCGACAGGTTAGGTTAGCCTTGTTGGGCTTCAGCTGGTGGACCGAGAAAGGTTACTGGTGATGGGGCTGAGGCGTGCCGCCCATCACAGCCGAGTCGGGGTGGGTGTGGCTTGTTGTCACGGTTTATCATCGCACTTTCCGCTGCTGGGTTACGATTGGGTAACTATGAGATAAAATGAGCCCGAGTCTATGATTCCTTCGTGTTCTTCTGGCCACTCGTAGCAGGGAAGCACGCGCTGGGAGATGCAACTCTGCTACTACGGTTGGCCGATCAAGGCATGTGGTTGGCCGCTGGTGAGAGTCGGCAAAGGACACCAGGCGGAAATGATGATGGCGCTGAAGGGGTCCTGCAGGGATCTCCAAGCAGGTTGCGCTAAGCTTCGTTCATTGTGGGGTAATGGAGCGAATCGGGCTTGCGCCGGTGGTGCAGGGAGCAGGGGATAGTCTACAGACGAGACTGTGGAGTCACGAGAAACAGTGATGACAAAGTAGAATAAAAAACAAGACAGGGAAGAGGAGGCTGACCAAATATGGAAGACGGATTCAGCGACTGTCAGTCAAGAGACTCTGCCGCTGTCGATCAAGAGATCAAGAGACTGGTAGCCAGGGCTGACCAGCCTATCGCCAATATCGCCAGGTGCCGACACGATTTCCAGTTATTATTGACGGCATCAGACGTTTCTACATGGGCTCAAAGCGGATAGTAAAACGAGAGACAGTCTAGTATTCACGAGTGTCGATTCTACATCTGCCTTGCAACGTACGCGCCAGACAGGAATAAGCCTAGTTAGCGCCTTCGCTCGGCTACAGCGGGCCCGCTCGTTTATGTCGGCGATGCCCCGCTTCCGCCGGCGGTAACAAAAGTGTCCGGCGAGCGAGATGGGCTCACGCAAATCGGGGCACTAGAGACTTGTTGTAAGGCGAACCGCATGGATGCCGATCATGAGAAGGGTCTGGAAAGTCGTCGACGACGACGGGGTCTGTGGTGTGGGTAATACTGATAGGGCTACAGAAACATGGCTTGTCACTTACACAAAGATGGCATGTGCATTTGTAATTTGTTCAGGCGAAGAGGTTATGGAATACTGCGCTGGTTCTCTATATCAAGAAAGTATACTAAAGCCAGTTCAATAGCCATCTGGAACAAGAGTATGTTTAATGGACACGCTGCCTGTGTACACCCCCATAGCCGAATTACACCCCCTACCGTGCCGCCATCCAGCAACTCAGACGTCTCCAGTGACTACTCTCGATGCGCCAGACTTTTTGATCCAGGCGAGCCGCTCGAGGTTCGTCATCAAGCACCCCTCCTATTTTACCCCTACAGACTCGTCTACTGGATTTGTTGATGCCTCTCTCGTCCGGCCTTGCACTCTGACCCACTTACCTGCCAGGGAGGGGTCTTTCTAGAGACCTCATCCACTCCGCATGGCCAAGGACTTTTTAATATGGTCCCCAAGGATCAGGTCCGCTTCTATGTACGCCGATAGCCTCTGGTCCAGAGTCCAAACTACTCCAAACATACATAAAGACGCCACCGGTACGTCTCCCGCTCCATCCCAGGGCATCTTCATTGCCCAACGTTTCTGTCCGCCCCAATTCAAGAAGCCTTGTTCCTCAGCTGTCCTCTCTCCTCCCTCGTCCAACAAACGCATTCCCGCTACAAACGCATGACGAGAGTTGCACTACTCGGGTTCCTGCGTCTTGGCGTCTGTTTCTCCTAATATACCATATCATGGAATCTGCAGCTACTATGATGAGCCTCTACTCACCTCAATGCCACTTTAGCCCGGACTCGCTCCTCGAGGAACCGCGCAGCCGACGGCGCGTCAAGGCCGAGGAGCGCCCTGATCGGAAAAAACGATGGACCACCAAAGTAAAGACGGGCTGCGCTACTTGCCGGTAAGTTGAGGTAGCTCGGTAGCATCCCGGACCGTTTTTACCTGAATATGTTGTCTGACCGTTTTTGTGTATACAGTGCTCGGCGGATCAAGTGCGACGAGGGCAAGCCCGTTTGCCGTCGATGCGTCTTCTCCAAGCGCCAATGTGGTGGCTACATGGACCAGGCTACACCGCAATACTCCTCCACCACTGGTTCCTGCTGCTCCTCACCTACATCCAGCGTGGGAATCTCACCATACCCAAGTAGTGGCCTAGGTCCCATTCACCACGACGCAAGTAGCCTCGAGCGACAAATGTTTTACCTCTTTCGCACACAGACAGTCTTTGAAGTCGGGTGCGTCCTCGACATGCCGTTCTGGCTCATAGACGTCCCCCAAGCCGCTCAGGCCCATCGATCTATCTGGCACGCCTCCGTTGCCCTTGCTGCCCTAGCCACTTCTCGCAACGCATTAAACGACCCAATGCCTGTCCTTCCCGACACCGGAGTAGACGGCCTCACATCTTTCGTCATGAAACACTACCATGCTGCTATTCGCGAGCTCATCCCCTTGAGCAAGCCTAGTGGCGACGAGCCTACTTTTGAGAACCAGCAGGTCCTGCTCATGACCAATGTGCTGCTGCTCGGTCTCGCCAGCATGCAGGGCAACCAGCGCGATGCTGCCGTGTTCTCGCGCCACAGTCTCAGTCTTTTCAACGCCTGGCGCTTCTGGCAACGGCAAGATGACTGGAAGACGTCTTCGCAACGGGCCATGCTCTCTGTGTCTTCTCTCACAGCGCTTATGTACCGCCTTCAAAGCCAAGAAACTATGGATCGCCTTGAGCGGCCCGACTGGCTACTTTGCGACTTTGACCAATATACCAAACTCCCATCTGCGACTCCATTTTCGACCATGACAGAGGCATACCGCGAGCTTCAACCTCTTCTTGCTGGGCTGACCATAGTTGCAAAAGAGCACCACCTGAGACCACATACTGACCTCATGCTTCCCGCGCCCGAAACCTGTCTCGCTTTCCGTTACGCCTTCACGGCATGGAGGGCCAAATACAACCACCTACGTGACACACAGCTATCTGACGCAGAAAATATGCTGGAATCAATGATTCTAGACTTGCTCAAGGCCACAGTCGAACATGCTCTCTTTTTGACAGAGGACTACGGGCCGCTGCTCCCACTACATCACCACATGGTTGGCACTGCAGAGAAAATCCTACAAGCGCTGACTTCATCGACAACATTTGACAATCAGTTTGGCTGGGAAATAGCCAGCGAAAGCCCCGAGGCTGCGTTACGAGCTTCGAAGCACTGTGCGTCAGAATGGTCGACCATCCCTACGCCAAATTCGCCGCCACTATCTATCGCGCCGCGCATCACCAAGGCGCTTCCCTACTGTTTAGGGTCTGTCGTTATCGAGGGATTGTTTATTGTCGCCATTGACTGCGTTGACTTTGGCCTCCGCCGCCGCGCGATTTCGATCCTCCGTAGGTGGCCCCGTGCTGAAGGCATCTGGTCGAGCGTCATCATGGCTGCCTTTGCCGAGGCCCTCATGAGTACCACGGACACAATCGATAGCGGTCTCGAAGTGTTGGAAAATGGCCTTGGAAAGATGCAGCTGCGGAATATTACCGATACGAGGGAGAATTGGCCTGGCCGAGTGGTGCCGGTATCGTGGTGAATGAAACCAGGCAATGATGATCTCTGCCATTAAAGTCACTGGAGAATTCAGCTCGAATTTTTGCCCTTGTTGATGAAATGATAGCAATACGAAGAAGCAAAATGAACGCTGGAGCCTAGCCTTGAGGAGGTTGATACTTGCAGCATTGCACAACGATGCTTTCGAGTCGAGGCTTACTGGAAATGTTCCATCTAGGGAAATTAGATTTCACTTGGAAGATTAGACGCGGTACTTTACTTATCACGTTATACGCTTCATATCAGTCACCTATTTGCCACGGGCAGGACACCTCACCATATTTATCATGCTGATTTCGTCGATACATGACGGGCAGCACCTCTCACGCTCAAAAGACGCGATTGCTTCCACAGCACTCCGCCCCCATTTCCATGAAGCTAGGTAGTACCAGTCACATGGACTGCTGATTTACTCGCCGATAATAGGCGTAAAAGACCAACCTGCAGGAAGCAAAGCTTAGCTCGTGACTTCCATGTCGAGCCAGAGGTGCATAAGATTAATATTGAGGAGTCTGTTATGCATAGATGATGGCCACCAAGCAAAGACAGCCCAGTAGTTGGCAAGACCTGCGCCGCCTGCGAGCCCGTCAACCGGAGAGGAAAAATGTTTCTGGCTCGCAAAGCTATCGTCACCGAGTTATTCCTCGCGTGTCACATGGCAGCAAAGCTCGTCGTATGGCGTCGAGTTGCACAAGCGCACCGAGACAGGTATAACCCCCTCTTCCTCCCATTTTACACCATGTGTCCCCTTTACTCCCTCCTAGTCTTTGACACTTTGACCCGAGTCCGAATTTGCCACCACAACCCCCCACCACAACCCGTCGCTCCCAAGAATCTGCGTCATGTCGGCCAAGATCACGACCAAGTTCGGCCGAGCTGGGCCCCCAGCACCGCGCCATGCTGTCACGGTGTACATGGGCTCTGATTGGGAATCGGGTGTTGAGTACGGGACGGACGCCGCTTCAGTAATTGCCCGATTTTACGATGCATATCCTCGCATGAAGCCACATCGCGATATTGTCCAGGTACGTCAAGACTGGTCTCTGCAGCCCAGAACTCAAGGGCGCCAACAGAACTAAATTGAGAAACTAGCTGTCGGATGCGGTAATGAAGCATCTGGGCTCCCTGGACAAGGCTTGCCTGCTGTTTCCGTCACTGCAGTCTGCCAGAGAGTGTGGGGATTATGCCACCTCCAGCAGGCGCAACGACGGTATCGACAATTGCCCGGTCGCGGTAGAAGACGTGACAATTCGTGCATTCGTAGCCAAGGAAGCATTCTTCGCCGTCATCTTCCCCGCAGTGCAGTATCACGTGGTTGTCGGGTTCTGGAAGATGGTCGGCGCCGGCATCACGTCCCGCTTCGCCGAGGCCAACTGCGCTCACCTGGACGAGCTCCGGCAAGTCGCTCTGGAGGACGCCGCGAGCAACAGAGACGGCTTTGAATGCGCGGCACACGAGACGCTGCGACGGCGAATCCTGTCTCTCGTCCAGCGCGCGGCGCTGCGCCCCGACGTGTCGTCCAGGGTGACGACGGGCGACATTTACCTCTACCAGTCGGGCATGGCGTCTATTTACAAGCCTCACACCTACATGCTGAACCAGTACCAGGGTGCTTCCGTGCTCTTTGGCATGTCCTTTATGGATACCATTCTGACGCTCGAGCAGTTCGGCCCCGGGAGCACGTTTTTCGGCTGCGGTTCGGAGCAAGACCTGGTCGAGCTCGAGTCTCATCTCGGCACCAGCCGGTCCGGGGGGCAAAAGGTGCAGGCGATCTGGGTCGAATTTCCGGCCAACCCGCTGCTTCGGAGCCCCGACATTGCCGAGCTTCGCAGGCTGGCGACGGCGCACGACGCCGTCCTCGTCATCGATGACACGATCGGGTCGTGGGCCAACACGGACGTGCTCGCCATGGCGGACATGACGGTCACGTCCCTAACCAAGTCGTTCAATGGGTACGCCGACGCAATTGGCGGCGCCGCGATCCTCAACCCGGCCTCGGCCAAGTACGCGGCGCTCAAGGCGCTGTTCGACGCACAGTACGTGCCCGAGATGCACGTTCTCGACGCCGAGACGTTTGAGCGAAACAGCCGCGACTACCTGCCACGCTCTGCACGGCTCAACGCCAACGCCAGCGCCGTCGTCGCGTACCTGCGCGCCCGCGCCCAGGACCCGGACAGCAGCGTGCGTCGGGTGCACTACCCATCCGTGAGCGACACGTACCGGGCGTTTATGCGCCCCGCGACGGCCGACTTTGCGCCCGGCTACGGATGCCTGCTGAGCGTCGAGATGGCGGACCTGGACGCGGCGCGGGCCTTTTACAACAACCTCGACGTGCACAAGGGCGTGCACTTTGGCGCGCCGTTTACGTTGGCGATTGCGTATGCCGTGTGCGTGTACTTGAAGAAGGAGGAGTGGGCGGCGCGGTTCGGCTTGAAACAGACGCAGATTCGCATCGCGATCGGGCTCGAAGACACGGATGCCCTGTTGGAGGATTTTCGAGTAGCGGTGGAAGCAGCGGATCAGGCCAAGAGTACAGGATCAAGTCAGTGATGGGGTTATAACCAGGGCGCAGAAGGATAAGGCTTGCTTTGCCAAGGACCTGTATACAGGACCATTGAATAGCCTTGTATGCGCTGGTACACCTATGAAAGATGGCAAAATGAATATAACCGTTGTAGAAACTCGCCAGAAATTAGGGTAGTTGCGGCAATTGCGGGGAGAGTGGCATATAAGTTTTGTCCTGGCGGTGATGGTATAATACGGTATAAAGGTATGTGGATAGTGTGGTTGAAATGCTTAGAATACCGAGTCGTACTCGCTATTGTGGTTGCAATTTAGAGTATCTATTATTGAGGACGATTGTAGAAAATGCTCGACTGTCTAGCGAAACCAATGAGCATGTGAGAATGCGTGTCACTGAGTTGAGGAGCACACGCCAAATAGATGCAAGACGCCACGAGGCAATCACCACACCAGACGTCAGCAAACGTCACAATGATGATGCAGCGTCTGCTGCTGTAACAGCGCACCGATAGTTTCGGCTCGAAATCCTGCCAAGCTCGCGAGACGGAAAATATCATTCATCAGCAACGACCGAGCTTGAAAAGGCACGAGTCCAACTGTTCAGAACAAACTCGGCACGAGTCCAACTGCTCAGAATAAACTCGGCACCGCGTAAAACTCGCCTACCGCCGCTGTTTTGTCGTCTTTTCCGCGCCGTCGTCCGCCTTCTGCGCGGGCTCCTCGCTCGTCTTCTCAAACGCAGCGTTGTGATCGTCCACCTCTTTGATTTGCTCCTTGCTCAGCTTGTTGGGCCCCCCATCACTCGGCATATCCGAACTGAAGACCTTTGGCCTGTTTGGCGCGCCGGGAGCTGTGCTGGCCAAGGGCGCTCCTCCTCCGGTGGCACCCTTGGGGCTCGCGCGGCTGCCAGTGGTATTCGCATGGACAGCGCGATCAGAGTCGCTTTGTTTGCTGCCACGTGTGTTGGTGTTGGCGTTGGAGCGTGTTGTGGTGAGAAAGCGGCTAGAGACGAGGCTAATCGTTGGCCTGGTAGGCACTATAGCGCGAAGCGCTTGACGAGAGATGCAGGACATGTTGACTTGCAGCTGTGATGATATAGTCAACGATTAACTTGTATTACTATTATAAATGGTGGGAAGCTGCGAACTGACATTGGACTGATTAATTGCTAGACGTGTCTGCGTAGTCCTTACTCGAGGGCAGCTCGTTCCAGCTACTTTCGTTTTATACTCGGGTACAAGACCAGGCACAGTGCCTAGCGACCTCCCTACGTCACTATGCGCATGCTGCACTGGACGCGTTCCATCATCGTCCCGTCACAGTATTTTAGGGTCGAATATGACGTACCCTCTGTAATTTTTTGTACTAGGCGTATGAAACAATTTAAGATGTATTGGTGCGGGGTTACTATTGCCACGTCATGAACATGACTGATAGCTATTCTGGTCGACTGATGCGCAGGTGCCGCTTTTTCTTGTATAGTACATTTGGATACATGTTTGGATCGAATTCTTGCAAAATGCTATGCTATTGTCCCTATCATGTGTGGTTCTATTTCATGGAATATTACGAGTGCTTGCTCTGGGCAAACACATGACGGTGTTATTATCTTCCGGCCTTTTCTAATTGTTAACCACAAGATTAAGAGTTATTAACTAAAAGTGGGGTCGTACTGTGGCTAAGCCCCGATCCTACGCCGACTACTAAAATTTGTATAGGAGACGAAGTAACACCATAATTACGATATAGAATAACACTGTGAATAGAACTTTATATTATTAATTAAGTAAAAATTATAAAAATATAAAAATTGCACTATTGCACTCTCTAGCTAATTCTCTATCTATCAATTGCTGTATTATTCGCACCCACGCCTCCTGTATCTCTTGTGTGTCCTAATTATTATCGAATTCGGCGTCTTGCGAGCCGTCTTAAGTGGCTATAGCGCTGGCTGCAGCGCTAGCTTCCTCCCCGGCCTCCGCCACCTCGCCGGCTTCCTCGCCGACGTCAAGGCCCGTATCTTCGGCGCTGATGAGGCCCGTGTAACGCTGATAGGCCCGGGGCCGAGCTATTCCCGGCACATACGGGTCATCCGAATCTTCCGCCGTGAGGTCAATCGAGTCCGGAGCCACCGCCGCCGCCGTCTCGGCCCTGGCCAGTGCCTGTGCGTGATGCTGGCCCTCTGGCTGGCCCTCTGGCTGGCCCTCTGGCTGGCCCTCTGGCTGGCCCTCTGGCTGGCCCTCTGGCTGGCCCTCTGGCTGGCCCTCTGTGCGTTCGTTCGGCCGTGGCTTTTTGGAGGCGTGCGTGCGTTGTGATAGCTTCAAAAATGCGTGCACAGGAGCGGTTTTCAAATTAGGTTGGGACAGGTAGTGGGTAGACACGCAACGCGTCTATTGGGTGTAAATTACTATAGGGGGGCCGAAGCCGGCGTCCAACCGCTACCCAGCCACACCTAAGCCACAAATTGGTTGACACCTCTTGATCTTGTGGTTGACAATTAGAAAAGGCCTTATCTTCCTTGGTGGTGAACGAGAGGTTGTCCAATAAGGTACTTACTTTGTCGCAGCCTTTGCAGCATGTCCAGTGTTGCCTGCCACTCTCCTATCGGATGGTAGGAAGGCATTATATGTCTGTAAACTTCGTTAGCGTTATACTACATTTTCAGATAAATTTTCAGATGACAGATCCTGCCCTGCCTAAATTATTGTTCAACGGTTAGAGTGAAGTCCTGTTGGTCGACAGATACAGAGGGCACTGCAGGCTCTGGATACCCCTTAGCTCACGCCCTGTATTCTCATGGCGGAGCCTACAGTGCTGCGTAAATCCTCCTGGATTCGGCCACTGCAAACTGAAGAATTAATTGCTACTTTCAATTTCTTGGTCTGGTACGTCCCACTTCCCGCCTACCCTTTCCCACTGGTTTTCAGCTCAGCCAGTGTGAAATCTCGAACCTTGTGAGAGTACCAAGGCCCAGTTAGTGCAAGTCACTAGAGCGTGTAGCGAACAGCGAGCCAATTGAACCTCAACAAACGCTTGGCCCACTTGCATCACAAAACTCTCTTTTGTTGTGATCTGGATCGAATTGCTAAGAATAACAACTACCTATGTAGAGTCTCCTCTGCTTCCTGATCTACATGTGTGGGATGCGTGAGACCCGGTGAGATTTCTCACTGGCAAACCCTCCTAGAAGCGACCTGATCAAGGCCTGATGCATGTTCAAACGTGAATTTCCTTGGAAGTGACAGTGTCACCGAAAGGAACATCTGCTCTCTTGTACCTGGCAAAGGACGATCCAATCACAACTTTGGCTCAGATTGGACGAGGCGCGTCGTAACTACCCTTTTTAGTACGTCACTGAAATGGCGCAGCAACGTCACCCCCAGCACGCCCAGCTGTTTGCTAATAATAACAAGCGATGGCAGGTCCGTGCCGTAATAACTATTTAATCCAATCCGTCTCCTGATCTCAACAAAATCCTCCCCATGCGCCATCATCTCCAGTCCTTCCCCTTCGACCAGTCCTCACCCTTCGATCAAGCCGGAATGAATACATTCATGGAGCAATCTGGCACAGTCGCCGCAACCTTGGTTGTGCCCGCCAATCGTTCCCACCCTTTCTATCCGGTAGATTTGAGGGTGCCTGGATACATTGCGACATCCACCCCGACTGCTGTTTTGCTTACAATCTTTTTTGGGGGGCTTCTGATGCTTATAACAACGACGCGGTATTTCTTGCGCGGCCTGAAGCCCCAGCTTTCCAACGGCGATACTTGGACGGCAACATGGTTCGTCATCTGCGGCTTCATCCACAGCTTGCTTGAAGGTCTGTATACCACCTTTCTACTTTTACGACGACCCATATCTATCAAAATCTAACATGTTTTTTTTTCTTCCCCAAGGCTACTTTTCGTGGCATTCTCTTCAGATGGGCGGTCGCACAGACCTGTTTGGCCAGCTTTGGAAAGAGTACTCGCTATCCGACTCGCGCTACATGACCCAGGATTCCTTTGTCGTCTGCATGGAGACTGTCACTGCTGTCCTATGGGGCCCGCTCTCCTTCTTGTGCGCCTACATGATTGTCACAGACCACACCGCGCGACATTCCGTTCAGTTGACCGTGAGCTTTGGGCAGCTCTACGGACTGATCCTCTACTTCGCGACGTGCACTTTTGAAGAGCTGGTTCACGGCGTGGTCCTGAGTCACCCCGCACCAATCTACTTCTGGGCATATTACATCACATGCAACGCCTTCTGGCTCTTCATACCCGGCTGGCTTATTTATCAAAGTCTCGGCGAGGTTCAGGCAGCGTTTGCGTACAAGGCGCAATTCAATGCCGTCGCTCGTCAACAGATGAGGAAGGAGGCTGCAACACTATAGAACACGCAGCTACAGTGAGAGAGGAGAGAGAGAGAGAGAGAGAGATGGACACATTAGATTATAATAGATGGACACTCGAGATGACAACGGACGAGCGCTTGGCTGTGGTGATGCGGAAATGCAACGACAGTGATTGGTCAGTTGCGCCAGTTTATAAAAGCTATAGGCATAGCGTAAATAGGCAAGCAATCAAATCTATTTTGGACTGCTACATCATCTCCTTTGACTGTGTCTGTTGAACCTGCGCAAGCAGCCAACTCGACGCTGGCCTCTGATTGGCCAGTGCTGGGTGGAAGACCCACTTTGTGGGTCTTCCTTGATTCCAGCCATCGAGGAAGGCAGCGGTTGACAGTTAATAATAATCAATCATCAGGAACCAAATTGACGTTATTTATTGCTTTGTTATTATATTCGAATATACCTTGATTCCAACAGTGTCGCTTGTGGTCCAGCCAACCGTCCGTCATCCACCATCCTTCCAAGCGTCGAGAGCTCACATGAACGAGGCACTGTAATATATTCCTGGAGAAATCTGCCAGGGGCGGTGGAAAGGAAGGGGAAAAAATCCCCATGGCGGTGTGGGATCTCGTGGGTGGCCAGCGCTTCGCAACTCGGCCTCTCACAAACCTCCAAAAAAAACCTCCAAAAATCACTGTGGTGCTAGTTAGGCCCAAATTGAGGCACATCTGCGGTGAACCAGCACTTTGTTCGTAGAGCGGCTGGTGTCTACATGCATGGTTACAGCCACTTGCAACTGGTGTGTTCAACACTTGACCAACGAGAATTCAAAAAAAAAAGACAAGCGTGTCGGCCTGCACAATTCAGTTGAAAACTCAAGTTTAAATTTTTTGTTTTTTCCCCTAGTGGACAATGGGAGCGACCATTGCTCGCCGGCCGGCGGCAAACAGCCGCAACAGTGGGTCAATTTCGCGGGACCCCTTCGAATTTCTGTGCAAGCATCACACCATTCCGTCTCTCTCTTCTTCCTCCATCAGCCCACAATCCACCACCACCACATAATGACCCCCCGAGCCGCATCAATGCTACGGCAGCGCATCGCGTCAACTCTGCTCCGCGCCGAGCAGGCGTCCGCCACGAGCCGCCCGTGCCTGCGCAACCGACACGCCCAGCAGAAGCGCTGGAACACGCCAGCGCCCAAAGCCGGCGACGGGCCTCTGATGGCTCGGCGCGCCGACCGCGAGCTACCCGGTTCCGTGCCCCCCCCCTTCTTGCCCTCTCTCTCCCGCTTTCTAACCGTTGTCCTCGCAGACATTTCCCAAGTCGGTTTCCGCTGGGGCCGGACGCTGCCGCTGTTCGCCGCACTCGTGGCAGCGTCGTCGCTCGCCATTTTCAACTACCAAAAGTCGTCGTCGCCCGTCATCGCGTCGACGCTGTACGCGCTGCGCACGTCGCCGACGGCGCGCGCCGCGCTCGGCGACGAAATCTACTTCAAGCACCAGATCCCGTGGATCGGCGGCGAGATGAACCAGATGCAGGGCCGCATCGACATTTCCTTTTCCGTCCGCGGCTCCAAGGGCACCGCCGTCATGCGCTTCACCAGTCGGCGCCCCAGCAGCCGCGGCCTGTTCGAGACGTCTGAGTGGAGCCTCCGCACAGAGGACGGCGCCTGGATCGACCTGCTCGAGGAGGGCGACCCGTTTAGGAGCCTGCTCGCCGCACCCGACGACACGACGCTGCCCCCGCCGCTCGACGACGAGGCTGCCCGGAGAGGCTTCCGGCAGCAGGGTGCGCTGAATAAATGAAGAGAAGAAAAGTAGTATCGACCAAACAACAACACATCTCTGCTTAGCGTCGGACATTCTGTGGACGTGTCCACCACAACTGTACAATAGTTCTTGATTCATGTGTACATCTATAAATACAAGTGAAAAGCTAATAAAAGAAGTCCGCTTCACAAATGACGAGTCTTGTTGTACATCAGTCCCAGTCCCGCACTCCATCGTTCGTCCCAAACGAAATCGCATCTTGCTTTGCTTTATAATTCCGCGTTCTGTGCCTGGCGCTCCTCCTTGAGCCTCATGTGCGTCTCCCTGGCCTCCCGCAGCTTGGCCGCGGCGTCGGGATGCCTCTTCTTGAGCAAGACCAGCGCGCTCTTGCGGAACGGCTTGCCGGGGGCCTTGCGCTTCTTTGCGTCCTGCAGCTGGATGACGCGGCCCTTGGGGCCGGGCACGGGGCCGCTGACGAGCACGACGCCGAGCTCGTTGTCGACCTTGAGCACCTTGAGGTTCTGCACCGTGACGTGCTCAAAGCCCATGCGGCCCGGCATCTTCTTGCCGGGCAGCACCCTGCTGCCGCCGCCCTGCGAGGGGCCGGTGGTGCCAATCGTGCGGTGGTTGAGCGAGTTGCCGTGCGACGCCTCCTGGCCGGCGAAGCCGTGGCGCTTCATGCCGCCGGCGAAGCCCATGCCGCGGGAGCGCGCGCGCGCGTCGACGTACTGGCCGACGCGGAACCAGTCGGGCTGCAGCTGCACGCCGACCGGCAGCAGGCCGTCGGCGTCGCGGACGTGGAACTCGTGCAGGTCCGCCTTGGGCGCGATGCCCTTGGCCTCGTAGTAGCCGAGCAGCTGGCTCGTGAGGCCGCGCGGGTTCTTGGACCCGTGCCCGACCTGCACGGCCCAGTAGCCGTGGCGCGCGCGCGTCTTGTTGGCCACGACCTGCACCTGGTCGAGCTGCAGCACCGTGCACGGCGTGCGCACCTTGCCCACAAACATGCTCGTCATGCCCTTCTTGGTCGCCAGCACGCCCGCGCGGTAGGGTGTCGTGTTCTCGCGCCGCTTGAGCGCCGCCGCCGGGCCCGTCGTCAGCACTGGGAGGCCCGTGTTGGGCTGGTTGAATCGTCGGGGCTTGGAGCGTGGCGGTGCCGTAGCCCAGCCGTACTTGATGCCGCGAGAGGGCGTCAGGGGCAGCAGCAGTCGCCGTCCGGTGTCGGGGCGGGCGGCCGTGACCCGCGGGAGGGCCACCCGTATCGGTAGACGAAGCTGCATCGTCTGTGAGGTGTCGGCTGGGTGTCAATGGATGGGGGGTTGGATGAGCTTCTGTTCAAGATGCTGAAATGTTGCCCTGAGAAATCCATCTTTTTCCGTCACGTGCACCCCTGGCTTCGCCGACCCACCGCCAGGAAGATTAGAACTCGTAGCCAAACCAGGTCTGAAAGATAAGAAGGCAAAGGGAAAAAGTGATTTTTCGATTTTAGAGGGATATAGATAAATATAATATATTTTTCTGATATCTTCCTGACCAAAATCTGGTTTCTGTCGGCTCATTCAGAGTACACCACACTTGACTAACATGCATCCGCTAAGAGCCCAGCAGCTATGTACGCTAGTTTATTACTAGAATTGTTGAAGCGAACGTCTCTACACGACGTCTCCATTTTGCTTGATAAAAGGAAGATATATATATGTATTAAGCTGACACGATTTACTGGAGTCACGGCTTCAACACGATATAATTCTATTCGACAAGGCTTGTGTTTATACATCGCCAGCACACCGCCGCGATTCAGCACATCCTCAGCACAGCCAGATTCACGCGCCACTCGAAAGCCATCCTCCGCCAAACACAGCCGCGTACTTTCCAGCTTCCATCTCTACCTGTCATTATAGCTCATATCATCGTTTGTCTTGTCCGCTCTGTAGCCACCGCTAGACACCCGGTCCCCGTCCTCCAATACCACTGCCCATGGCATTCACGTTTGTGCCCTTGATCTTGTGGTCCCCCGGCTGCGCCGCCGCCTCGTAAACGATGTTCGTCGGCGCCCTGCCCAGCCGCGTCCACTCGCCCTTGAAGCCCACATAGCTCAAGCGTGTCACGTCCTCATCGCCGTCGCCAAAGTTGTCAGCGAAGAAGAGGCTCAGCCGCTGCACCTTGCCAAACAGCGCCCGCTTGACGGGGATGTCTTGTAGCTCGGACGTTTGCGCGAGCTCGAATCGCTGCACCGGCTCATCCTCCGATGCGGCCTCAAAGTCGAGGTCGTCTCGGTTGACAAAGAGGTTCAGCGTCTTGGGGGCGCATGCGGAGGGGGAGGTGCGGAGCAGAATCGAGTGCAGCTTGACTTGCGCTGTGAAGCTGTAGTTTTTTTTATTATCACATCAGTACATTGAGAATGGTGAGAATTGCAAAAGAAGACAAGGGAGAAAAAGAGAAAAAAAGTATGAAAAGGTGTTTGGGTAGGAAATGGCGGCGTCGTGGGACAGTGCTTACGGGACCGTCATGAGGAGCTGCTCGTCGGCAGCGCTCTCCAGCTCCGGGTCCAGCTCGAGCCGCTCCGCCCAAGTCTTCTTGACAATAGCCTTGCCGGCATCTCGACGCGACTCGTTGAGAGTTACAATCTGGTCAAAGTCGATTTGCTCGTACAGCGACGACTGCAGTGCCGGCGTGATGTCGTCTGAGTGGTCGTGCTCGCCACCATGCTCGTCGTGGCAGTGCGAGTGTGAATGTGAGTGTGACATACTGGGTGGGTTCTGTTACCGCCTCTTTTCTCTCAGTGGTATAGAACTGATTTTTTATTCCACTTACGCCAACAATGTTTTGCCAAGTTGTATGATGAGATGTATGGTCAAGGTGCCGGTCCGCCAACGGAGGATGAAGTAATGTTGGCAACAGCGAGCCCCACCACAGTCAACTTGACAAACAGACGATATGATATGCACACCTGAAGAATCGCGTATTCAAAGTAGATTAAGGAGCAAGTGAGATATATCAGGAACATTGCACATCGTTCTACAACATTTCATAGCATCTATCTAAAACCACTCTTCCGCTTGGGCTTGGACTTCTTCTTTCTAGCGCCAAATGCGCCCGAGACAGGCTGGCTCATGGTCACTTGCGTTATCGACGGCGCTTGTGTCTGCGACGAACTCGGCTGGGCCTGGCTCGACATGGCTTGCACGTGCGTAGGACCTGGCGACGAGCCTATCACTTCGTCTTCGCGACCGCGCACGCTGCTCCGGCGCGTCATCGACTGTAGCCTGAATTTGTCGATGTGCGATCTGCGCTTCGCTTCCTTTCTCTGTAGTCTCTCTCGCGCCTCTCTGAACTTGTCGTCCGAGGCGACGGCTACCGTCGAAACGTAGCGCTCGGGATCATGGCCGCGCTCGGCAGGCCAGTAGGAGAGTAAGTTGTGAGATCTCGACGTAGGTGGCTGCGTTGTGGATAGTGACGGTGCCAACAGGGACAGTCTTGCCAAGGCATCATCGTTGCTGTTGGTTAAATCGGGCGGCGCTTGGGGGAGCTGGGAGTTATGCGGCGAAGACGTGAGCATGGCCGAGCTAGCTGGTTCCCTGCTCTGCGCCCGTGATACCTCTAGCCTTTGAGGACCAAACACCGTAACATCTTGCACCAAAACACCATAGCTTGACAAGAGCATGCTCCGTGCCACTTCAGCTACCCAAACCCTTCGTTGCTCTTGAACAGTATCCGTTATGCGGAAACCTGGACCATCGAGCCAGAGATTGCAGTACTCGGTAAACAAGTCTGCAAAGCTGACCAATGAATCAGTCGGCTCCTTGTCGTTGAATCGTCGAACTTGCGGAATGACTTTGTTTTCGTCGGCCGCATCAAAAAGATTTTGTATTTCTGCTTCCATACCGTTCTCAACGTCGTCGAGCTCGGCATCATCTCCTACAAACTCTGGAAGCTGATGCCTTCGTCATGTTAGTTGTCGTTTGTGCTGATGAGTGAGAGGTACATACCAAGTCGTCAATGGAGCCCTGCTCCCTGGCTCGGTAGTGTCAAGAATGTCCTGAACAGCGATAAATAAATTTATAGGAAGGCCTTTAGGACCTCTTCGCTGCGCTTCTGCCAAGTTGCGGCCGATGGACCGACATATCCTCTCCATATTCAGCCTGACTGGCTGAGGGACCTTGACCTCTGACTCTTTCTGCCGCCCAGCCAGTTCAGATTCGTCGGCGTTATTTCGCTGCATCAACGAAATCAAGTCCTTTTCAGTCATACCATCCGGGAGCACGAATGTGGTTGCAAAACGTTCGAGAAATTTGTCTCGCCTTTTCTTCCACTGTCGTTGCTGTTTCGTCATCGACCAATCTAGCCGCTTTTTAGGCAGCACAACCTCTTGGTCGGGAGTGTAGACGGTAGTGTAGATACCATGTCGTAAACTCAAATCATCGAACAACATATTGACCTGAAAGAACTCCACGCCAGCACTTTTGTACTCAGCTCCCAAACCGGACGAAGATCTGTCGTCCGAGACAGTAAGACGCAGGGGAGTGACGGTGAGTTGAGAAATATGGGAGGACTGAGCAGGATCCATTGTGCTAGAAAGAGATGTCACATGCCTATGCCAGCGCACATGACCATTGTCTTCAGCTTTGAACCAATACACAGACAGTTGGTTAGTCTTGATCGAAAAGGTTAAAACCATGGCGGTGCCGTCCTCCAGGGCACAAGTCGTCATCGTTGGAATCGAGGGCCCTTCTCCAATGTCTCCAATGTGAGGTACGGTGAGAAGAGTCGTGAGCTTGTCCTGGTCATTCCGTATTTCGGCCCAGACAAGGTTCTTTTCTGTCAGTATGAAAACCCGGCTCTCCGTAGCAGGACAGCGTTGGACAGTAATAATCCGATTGTTCTTGCCTTCTGGTGTCCATAACCCCTTCAAAGGCGATACCATCGTGGCCGAATGAATATTCACTGCCTGAAGCCGGTCGGCTTTCCACATGAGAAGAATCGGTTTCGAGCTAGCAAAACGTGTGCGTGCGTCTGTTTCCAACGGATCTAGCTCGGCAATACTCGACTTACAAACAACAAGCAACCCGTGCTTTTCGGCGGGATGATCATGCTGCGAAGGGAATTCGGCAAGAGGGCCAGTGTTGATATGTCCACACGCTTGCAGAAAGACCCTGACGGTGTTCAAATCGATTCGATGTGTTCCCATGAGACGCCATATGCTCCAGAAGCCGCATTCGTCAATCAAAGCAAGACTGGATCTTTGGTCAAAATCTGCAGGGATAAATACTATATCAGAATGGGCATTCCCGCCTGTATCGCTATGGGATATTGTCAAGATCGGATTAGGCTTGACCGAGGTTGCTGAGGTGGCTATTATGGAGCCATCCATGATTTGCGCATCTGTGATCGGAACATGATGATATTCTGGTTGAAGCACTGTCGTCGAGGTTTCTTTTTGGACTAGTAGCCATTGAACGTTGAACTGGTTCGAAAGACCTTGTACATATTTGACCTGAGTGATTGGAAGACCATCAGTGGCCCAGGTTACTTCCTTTTCACCCTGCAGAGGATCGATTACAGAGAATTGCAAAGAGGCATCCCTGCTGTCGTCCCACTGCAAGTCGGTCTGGTCCGCGACACTCAAGCGCAGGAGCTCGCCAGATACACCCACTGCGGAGGCTAAAAACGGAACGGGTCCTCTAATAACGTCTTGGCGGTACGACACGGTTGGCATAGATCCTGTGGCAAGCAATGGTCGGTCATTGGTAGACGTCTCGACTGCCTTGAACTTGGTCAAGTCCTCACGAAGCGGCTCTTGAAAGGCGAAATTGCCCATGAACGCTTCGGGGTGAGACTTGCTGAGCCATCTCTGCTGTTCTAAGCGAGCGCGCCATGCGATGGAGCTTGCGCTGGGTTGGGCAGCCTTGGACGGTGGGTAGAGCTCAGCGATTGCACCTACCACTGAAAATCGAGGCTCTGTGAGAAAAGGTTAGTAGGCGAATACGCTGGACATGCAACGTTCCTGACCTTTTTCAGTGTGTCGGGAAGACTCCAAGCTGCCAACTTGGTCTCCCCGGTACTGGTCAGCCAGGCGGTATGATAGAATGCCAGCATCGCCATATGTGTGGCCTGCAAAGCCATGCGCTTCAGCCATTTGGGCCTAGTAGAGATTTTCGGTCCGTTGTGAGTAGCTTAGTTGTTGTTGTATTCATCCTGAGCAAAATAAGCAAAAAATAGCGCTGAAGAGAAAATTTGGCAGCTTAATCAAAAGGAAGAACATTTGAAACTACAGTGACGACAAGCGTTCACCTAAAATCAGTTAGTCAAAAAGTGAAGTGAACTCCGTTTGAATCACGTGCCACTACACTATCTTATAAATTATATAAGCAGGCTAATATAGACATTAGATAACTAGTTATAACTAAGAGTAATTTTATATAGTAGAGTTAAAGAATAATATATATTAGAACTTATAGCTATTTTTACCTTATTCTTTCTTAACTAAGAGGGGAAATTCCTCTCTTCTTATACCTATTTTCTAGCCTAGTTAATTAGTTTAATTATACTCCTTTAGTATATCTTTTTATTACTTAATTCTATTAGTAATTAAGATTAGTTTCTTTAAACCTAACTCCTTTATTTATATACTACTATTCCTTTCTAGCTTTTTATTATAAGTAGGTCTCTAATTAATTATATATATTATAATCTTTACTTAAATTATAATATACCTTTTAAGTAAATTCTTTTTTCTTTTACCTATATTACTTTAAAGAAGTATTTTAGAATTTAATTAAGAATAGTATTCTTTAATAAATTAATCTTTTATAACTACTTTTATTAAATTAAAGAATATTTAAGTTTTTTATATATATAATTCTTTTTAATTCTATTATAATTACTTTATTCTCTTTTTCTTTCTATATTTACTAATTTATTTATATTATTTTCTTTAATTATTTAAAAATAAAATAATAATAGCTTTAATAGTATATTACTTTTTAATAATATAATCTTATTATAATATATAAAGTAAGGTACTTTTAATAATTATATAAAAGTATTTAAACTACTTTTAATTCTCTAGAAGGCTAGTTTCTTTTCCTTTATTTATTATCTTTAATATACTTTATTTTTATTCTTTTTTTACTTATAAGGAAACCTCTAATCTTAATAATATTCTTAATTTTAAATATACTATCTTTATTTTAAAGTATTTATAAGGTATTAATAACTTAAATCTAGTAAAGTAGTCTTAGCTTTTAACTCCTATAAAGGTTTAAGAGGTAAATAGTATATTTATTATATTTAATTTTAAAAGTATATACTATTCTTTTTAATTATTTTATTTTTTATTAACTTTTAATCTTAATAATATAGTATAAGGGTTAGGTTAGATTAGGTAGAAAAGTAAGGAAGGAAAAAGGTAGGTTATATTACTTATTAAGACTAAAGCTTATCCCCTTTTTTCTTCTAAGAAATATCCCCTTTATTTTATAATAACTAAAAGGAGGATAACTTATCTTTTTAATTAAAGTTTAAATACTATTTAAATACTAATTAAAACTTATATAAGTTAGTCCTATTCCTATAGGTCTACTTAAGGTCTTAATTTAGGCTTAACTTATATATAGGTCTTACTAATCTTATAACTAATTCTTCTTTAGGCTAACTCTAGGTACTTCTTTACTTTATAGTTAATTAGTTATTTTATATAATTTATACTTACTATAGATCTTTAGCTACTATATATTTAATACTAGTAATACTAACTTTACTAGTAGTATATAGTTTCTTAATTACTAAGGTTCTTTATAATTATAGATACTAAATTAGGTTTAATTTAGATTATACCTATTAAGGTATTATAATTACCTTCCTTTTTAAAAGGTATTTCTCTAAGTACTATATTTTAGCCTTTATATTATTCTTTATTATTATAAATAAGATATATACTTAGGTAATAGGTTATTTTATAAATATAGTATAATTAATTTATATAGATATTATAGTTATTAGCTAATAACTATTAGCTAGTAAATAATTAATAGAATAATATAAAAGTCCTTTAATTTACCTTTAAAATAGGTTTTTTTATATTATCTTTTTATAACTTTCTATTTATACCTTTTCTTAGCCTTATATTCCTTAAATTATTATATTAACTCTTTATAGTAAGTAGACTTATAATAAAGTATTCTTAAATTAGGCTACCTCCTTAGTTATTATTATTAAATAGTAATAGTATTTACTTATCCTTCTTAATCTCTTAATAAACCTTTATTAAACCTTATAAAGCCTTTATACTAAAACTATAACTATACTAACTACTTTATTTAGCTAAATAGTATATTAACCTATATTCCCTTTACCTTTAGGTTATATTAATACTATAGTTACTTCTTTAATATAGGTATTTTTTCTACTACCTAGTTTTATACTACTTTAATTTAAAAATCTTATAAACTACCTTAATTAGTTAAATACTAATTAATAAAGCCTATATCCTTAGTTTTATACCTAGATTATAGTTTAGTCTTTATTTAGCTTAGCTTTATAAATCTTATTAATACCTTATTTTTTTAGCTTAATAACTTTATTAATATACTATAGGTATATTTTATATAAGAATATCCTAGCTTTTAGTCTATACTACTAACCTTAAGCCTAGCCTTTAGAATAAGTATAGTTTAGGTAGTAGCCTACTAGCTTAAATAGGATAAAAAGGTACTCTAGCTTTAAAATAAGGCTATATATATTAAAAAGTAAAATAATATTACTAAATCCTCTACCTTCCTTATATATATCTTTAGAATAGGCTATATTTTATATTCTAGTATTTAAGAAGGCTATTATTATTAGGGTATTTAAGGCTTTACTTTAACTTATAGTTAAGCTACTAGTTATTTTAGCCTAAATATCTTTTTATAGGCCTTAGTACTTAAGCCTTTATTAACTTATCTTATTATTCCTTTTAATAAAGAAAATCCTATAATTATTAAACTATATTAAATCTTCTTTAATAATTATAACTTTATTTAGTATTTATAACTACTATATTTTATTACTTTTATTACTCTTATTATTAAGATTAAGGATTTAGATATAAATACTAAATAAGATATTATTAAAGATAATAATAATAATAATAGTAATTATATTAATACCTATAATTAATCTTTTAAAGAAGAATAAGTAAATAATATAGATAAAAAGGGTAATACCCTTAATTTCCTTAATAAGATAATTAATATTACTTACTATACTTATATAACTAATACTTTCTATATATATTATATTCTTTATTCTTTTATAGCTTATTAATATAAGCTTAAGTTAGAATCCCTTTCTATATAATACTTTTTTATAAGATATTTTTAGTTTTTAGTAAAAATATCTTAGTATATATACTATTATAAGATATATATTAGTTATTAACCTATATATTAATAATTTAATACTTAAATCTATTTTATAGCTAATATTTTCTTTTTCTAATAAAATCCTTATAATATACTAGCTAATTATACCTAGTTTATCTATTTTTTAGACCTTAGCTAGTCTTAATATAAAGTAAGAAATAATAATAATAAGTATATTCTTTATTAAGAAGTATATTAAAATCTAGCTTAACTTAGCTTTAATTTAGCCTTAACTTTTAATATAGTTAAGAATTAGTATAATTCTACTTATAATTTAATTATAACTAAGAAGTTCTTATAAATATATATTCTTTTCTTATTTATAGTCTTTTTAAACTTATAACTAACTTCTTTTTTTCTTTAGGTAGGATTCCTATATTAAATATAATAATCTAATAGATATATATAATATAATTATAGTTTAGATTAATAGTAAGATCCCTTTATTAAGATTAACCTTAATAGATAATAGCTATAATCCTTAGCTTAATACTAAGGTATCTTTTTAAACCTAATACTTATATATCTTATCTTATTCTTTTCCTTTATAAGCTATAGAATTTAAGGTAAATATACTTAGTATTTATAATATTTCTTTATAATAAGTAAGATATAATTTAAGACTTCTATTTATTCTTTTTTTTTTTTTTATTATTTTATTATATAATTAATACTATTTTATAAGAGTTTTTTATCCCTTTAATAGTTATTAATATAACCTTTTCTTTAAATATTCTCTTTTTTTAAGTATATTCTTAAGACTATTTTAAGTCTTATATTCTTTAATACTTACCTATATATTAGCTATATTTTCTTCTTATACCTATTTATTATATTTAGTAAGCTATCCTTTCTATTTAACTAGGAATAATTAGATCTTTCTTTACTTATAGTTATTTATAATATTCTCTACTTCTTACTTATCTTTAAAATCTTTAAGGTTTAATATTAATAGTAATTTAATATTACTCCCTTTTTAAAGCTTTAATAAGCTAATATAAAATATATTATATAGATATTTATATTATCTAGATATTATAAGCTAATATACTTATAAACCTATTTTATTTAGTATATATAGTAGTTTAATTTAATATAAGGCTAGTTTTTTTTAAGTAGTTTTAACCTAAAAGTTCTTTATAAAAAGTATAACTAGATCTCCTTTTTTAAGTTCTAGTAGTTAGTACTTTATATTATAATATTAATTCTAATATACTATTACTACTTCTTAATATTAAGTTATTTTATTTTATACTTCTTATAGTTTTTAGATCTAGGTTCTAGGTTCTAGTAATCCCTCTCTAGGTAAGTTAACCTTAACTTATATATATATCTTAAAATAAAAACCTATAAATAAAAAAGCTAGACTATTCTTAGTTATAATATTTACTATATTATTATATATATACTAAGTTATATATAGTAGCCTTAGCTAATTATATTATACCTTTATTAAGAAGTAGTATAAGTAGTACTTTAATATTTAATTTATTTATTCTATTTATCTATCTATTTAAGGATAGAAAGTAGTAAATAATTATTAATAAATATATATTATATAGTATAGTTCTACCTAGAAGTTACTAATAAATAGTATATTATAATTTAAGATAATACTATCTAAAGTACTAAATATTAATTCTACCTATATATAGAATAAATCTACTAGGTTAATAGCCTTTATTATATAAGAAATTATAAAGAAGAGTAAATACTTTATATAATAGTTAAT